CATAATAAAAGATGAATACTATTTGGTAAATTTTTTTTGATAAGATTTCCACTTCCTGACTGTTATATGAGACATGTTGCATTAAGATTTAGTCTGAGATAAATTGAATACTAAAAAAGCCGCATTAAAACTAAAAATAATATTATCTTTATCTTAGTGACTGATCATTGATATTGGGCCAAATTTATAAAATTCTTATATTATCATCACCCGATCCTTGATATTACTATAAATTTTCAAGTTCTTTGGCCGTCTTAAAAATTAAGTTGAAGGATTCCCTTATATAGATAAATAAAAATGGACATCGGAATAGGAGATCGTGCCTCAAGACATCATGATGATTTTGTTTAAATCAATATCAAAAACTAATGCTCTCGTGTACTGTGTGACAATAGAAGTTACTATACAATTATTCAAGATACGATAATGATTACAGCGAACAAAAGTTGACTTCACATTTCAATTCAATATTGTCATGACAAAATGACAAATTTAGAAATTGGCTTCTCAAAAAAAATTATAATAGCAAATAAAAATTACTTTATAAAATAATTTTGATTTTTAAAAAAATGTAAAAATATTTTTCTATAATACGTCGTACAAACATGTTATAATCAAAAAACCTAGATACATCGATTCAGTTGGCCGCTGTCTCATATAACTCAAAATAAACACATTACTATTAAATAAATAAAAAGATAAACTAATATAAAACAATACAATAATAAAAAATTTTGAAAACAATGTAATTACAGTATGTTCGAACTTTAATAATGTTGTTCATGATAATTTGATCACAATAATAGCTTATAACTAGCGGTTCATAAAAGTGGTCGTTTCAAATATCAGTGAGCTTAGTGCGAGTTTTTTAACGTTCTCGATAGCGTAAAAGTTAACGCAAATTTGTATGGAGTTGCAACAGCGCCCCTAGCGGCAAACGTAGTCAAACATTCCAACTCTACAAAATTTGAGTTAACTTTTACGCTATCGCGGACGTCAAAGCTCGCACTAAGCACATAGGGCTGTCCAAACTATATACAAAAGCTGGAGGGCCTCAGATAAATTTTTTTCAACAACTAAATACTTTCCTGACTTCGCTAATAATAGTAAGAGATAGCTTCACTTTTAAATGATGTCATGGGACAGGAATGTTACAAGAATAAATATAAATTATGCCAAATATTGATTATATGTTTTGACAAAGAATTATATTATCCAAACTATCTTCTGATTAAAACAGTCGTCGCAGCTTGAAAAGAAGCTGTTTTCTGGACAGCCCTGCCTTAGACGATTGCGTGCTTACTATTTCAACCGCGTGGACTGATCAAGTTTAAAAAATCCGATGAAAGCGAATACAAGCACTCAAGTTGTAAGCTCGTGTTAAAAAATTTAATCTATATAATAAATGCATCAATACTTATACAATAATACTAGGTTCTTATTCGTATGTATACAATTTTGACCGGGATATGACGGTGATAACTTTCTACTGTACCGCGTGCACATTGCTCAAAAATGCATTATTTGAATTTTACTTACGCGTGAACATTTCACGAGCACTTCGTCAACTTAGAATAGTTAAGTTGTACCCAAAAACAGTGTAACACTAATGAATATCGGCAATTAAAATCTGCATTTGCGGTCGCGGGGGAGGTGGAGAGAAGTGGGTAAGTGCGCCAGCTAACTTTGAGTTCCAATGCGGGCTACACGAAACTCGAACTTAGGAAGCCACACTTATTGCGTCTAGTTTATTAAAATATTATTTTCCGTCACAGTGTGAGTGAAACTTTACTCTTGTTTCGACCGCGGAGGCGACTTCTTTACAGTCTGTATTTAAACACTCGTTCGAATTGACATTAGGCGATTATGATAAACCCAGTAGGTACATACGTACTGAACGTGAGTACGTACTTTGTCCCGCCACGCGAACAATTTTGTACGTATTGTCTCAGTTTTACTGGATATTAATAAAAAAATATGAATTTTCCGTGGCTTATAAACGTTTACAATTGAAATTTAAATGATTTTGCATGGTATTATGATTAATTACATATATAACGGCGTTAACGATATTTCTATTATACAGCACGTGCAATACGAGTGACTCATAGATAAGCCAGGTGCCCCGGCCGTTATAAAAAGGCGGTATGTGCCTCGCAATGGACCCGATCCATTGACGGTGCTTTTAGGTACCACAAGCACCGGCAACCGTCCGAATTAACCCATAGACACACACAGAGTTTCTCGCCGGATCTTCTCAGTGGGTCGCGTTTTCGATACGGTGGTAGATTCTGCGAAGCACTGCTCTTGGTAGGGTCAGTGTTAGCAACACTCCTAACCTAACTACCTAACTAACCTACTAGTTAAGGTTACGCTGAAATAGACTCTTAAGGCTATCAGCTCAGGTAGGAAAAAAAAACGCAATGGACATTCGTTTGACTGGGTTTGCCCGGTGCACTTACTATATTCTTGTTACGTTGTGTGATTAAGTGATTGTTGTACGTATTGGTTAAGGTTCGATAAGTATCAAAGTGAATTATCATATGAGTCGTCTATTATCAAAGGTGGCAATCTGTGTATTTGGACAAAAAAATGTTATTGATATGGCGATACAGATTGATTTGAATATAATCGTCTCCTTCAAAGAATACGATTCAAAACCTGCATTAAATAAAGGTTAATACTTAACCTGTTATTTATCTAAGATGTCGTTCAGAAGAGTTTTATGACTGCCAATGGAATACAAAGTCAATAATTCGTTTTTCTGATTTACCAATAATTGTCCAAAAGTCACATTCCCGGCTTTGATAATAGTCGACTCATATTGTTGATTAAATCAGGAATCAAAAAGTGCCTTCGTTTTATTTGGTGTTCAACAAGATAATGTCCACCCCTGATCCTACATATATATCAATTAAAAAACAAATAATTCGCAAAAAAAACCCTGCCTGTTTGTTTAATTTATTCCTCCTCGAAAATCAGTTTCGTGTCGATTAGTATCCAGCCTGACGATGTCTGTTTGTTTTGTTTTAGAACATTACTTCGTCAGTTAGCTTGAACCAAATTTTACAAAATTCAAATTCAATTTCATTCAAAGAATATAACGAAAAAAACACTTGTCAATTATATGCCTTCTAGTAATATATTTATTGCACTTTTTTTTTGTTTTATTAATTTTATAAGAATAATAAAAAAATCTAACCTTGGAATAGAAATTGAATTTAATATTTAAAAATAATATTTGAAGTTAAAGATCTATATTATGGATCCAATAATACTATTTGAGACGAGAGTATGATATAAGTTTCAATTGACATAGTCATTAACTCCAATTATTAATGTAGATGAATTGAACATTTCTATTGGCAGTTTTACTAGCAACAAAATACAATAAAAGCGAATCAGCGCGATATTTGCATCCTCTCGCACGACACTATGTTATGGAAATTTAAGTTTATGTCTTAACTGATTTCATTTAATAAAATGATGCTAAGTATACAGGGTCTGTCGTAATTAGTAGATAATCCGATGTCTAACTCTAAGGCTGGTTTTAGTGTCACGCGGACCGTCAGTACGGATCGCTCCGCACAGACCGATCTGTATTAATCCTAGGGAGCGTTTTAGAGTAATGCGGACGGGTCCGTACGGACGAACGTCCGCACGGACAGCTCCGCAGCCGACCGCATGGCGCGTCCGTGCTGCGGAGCTAACCGCGCGGACCGCTGCTCGCGCGCCTCTGCCTATAGTGAGCGTTTTAGTATCGTCCGGAGCGCACGCATCAGTGCAGTACAATCATGACAATATGTCGTTGATCGATGTAATTCGTTTGAGGAAATGTTTGTGGGATGCCTCTGATCCACAGTACAAAAACCAGACAGACCAGCTTATTTATTGTCTATGACAGTAGTTCATCAAAACTTCTGGTCGACATACGAAAGCAGTTAAAGAATTTTGTTTCGTCAGTCCTCGAATTGCCGTATAATGTGACGAATTCTCCCGCGACGGCTCTCTGCTCTATTAAAGGGTGAACATGTAGTTTCCTTTTTCACTTAATTTTTTTTTCTTGTTAAATATAGGACAATAAGTAATATCACTCGCCACGTTGGATGCATTGCGCGCGTCTGTACACCGCGGCGCTGCTCAGGCTGTCAGGATGATACTAAAACGCCATATGCGGACGGTAAGCGCGGATCACGTACGCGCGGAGCGATCCGTATTGACGGTCCGCGTGACACTAAAACCAGCCTAAGAATATCTAATTTGTATGTCAGGGTTGCCAGCACTGCGAAATTTATCAATATTTTTTTGTGTTTTTTTTCTAAAATCTTCTATCGCGTCTAGTAATTTGGCCATAATTTTTACTAATTAAGATATTTTTTTATTTTTTTTTACTAATTTTTATTTTACTCCGAAATAATTGTACTATTTAATCAAATTACTATTTTAGGCATCATACATTCTAAATTTATGAATATTAGAGTTATAAGTTATTTTTATTTTTTCCTTTTAGCCAAGTTATAACCATTGATCGTGAAAAAATGATGTACAGCCCTGTGAGTGCCTATTGTTTTAAAAATATGCTTAGTTTGTGTATATTCTAAAAAGGTATAAGAATCAGTACACAAGCAATACTACTTTGTAGGAGCGCACTGAAATATATTAACTTGTAAAAATTATGGGCTAATTACTAGTCACGGTAGAAGATTTTAGAAAAAAACACAAAAAATATTGACAACTTTCGCATTGTTGGCAACCCTGACATACAAATTAGATTTTCTTATCCCCGGTTATCCCGGGTTATCCCCGGTTAGTGAATTATCCACTAATTACGACGAGACCCTGTAAAATGTGTACAGTGTAAATGAATACCAGCAAGGACAGTGTGTGCGGACTGCTGTAGTGGTATTCCTACTGAGTTTCTCGCCGAATCTTCTCAGTGGGTCGCGTTTCCGATCCGGTGGTAGATTCTGCGAAGCACTGCTCTTGCTAGGGCCAGTGTTATCATCACTCCGGTTTGAGCCCCGCGAGCTCACCTACTAGTTAAGGTTATGCTGAAATAGCCTCTCAGGGCTATCAGCTTAGTAGGAAAAAAAAGTGGCATTCAAAGGCTTCGTAAGTGTCATCATATGATCTCCCACTCGCTGTCGAGGTGGTCGTCGGGCGAGCGTAGTCCATCGCCGAAGCTGTTACTGCTGTTCAAATCTAATTTCAACTCGATATTCTCTAAATTCCACGTGTTTGGCAATTCGACGATTTTAGGCACCAAATCCGTATTATTCGAGATTATTACCGATTTCTGCGGTTCCGGTTTCCTGTTCGCCGGTCGCTCTCGGTCCGTGTCCGGTTTTATTTCCACACGTGTGAAGGGCGGCGGCGGCGGAGAGTCGGCGCGCTGCGGCAGAGGTTTCGCCTTTATGCTCAACGATTCCAAGTTAAGCATTTTCGCTAATATCTTCTCTTTCTCCTCGATCTGTTTCGCGAGCGCTTCGTCGTTCTCTTCTTGGTAATGCCTGAAGAGGAAAAACAAACGTAATAACTGACACGATATGAATAAAATAGCTAGGCCAGGACGGGTACTGAGCTCACGGGCTCAACTTAAGAGAATTTGCTTTAACAAAAGCAGTGCTTCGCTGAATCTACCGCCGAATCAGAAACGCGACCCACTGAGAAGATCAGGCGAGAAACTCAGTGGACTTTGTGTATGGGTTAATGAACACGCTTCACACAGCGGCTTACGGCACAATTAAAACTACTTTTACTAATACCAAAATTAAGCGACCCTTTCATTACAAAGACAAATGTCGCGTATTAAGTGAGATATCGCTTAAACCATCTATCCTTTCACACCTCGATTTTTTTTTATTGTCCTTGTAGGCAGACGAGCATACGGCCCACCTGATGGTGAGTGGTTACCGTCGCCCATGAACTTTAGCAATGCCAGCAATAGGCAGAGCCAAACCGCTGCCTACCAAACTTAATACTTGAAATGGTTTTGTTTTCTGTATATATTTTCGACCTACCCGTAAATGCTAATGTTCATGATGCACGGATTGGTGTAGCTGACGTCATCGGGCGGCTTCCTCGGCGGGGTCGACAACCTCGGCGTGCTGCCCCCCGACCCCGCCTCCCTCCGCCTACTCCTCCTGCTATGTATCAGCTGCTCGTCGCACTTCTTAACGATTATGCTGCTAAACAAATCCAATTTCTTCTGCAGCTCATCCGTTTTCGTGCCCCTCGATTCGTATGCATCGTTCACGTCTCGATACTCGCCGACAATCGATTCTAAGACGTTCTCGGATATGTCGTCCGGTAAGATTCTGATCGGAGGCAGTTCGAAGCACTCTTCGGCGCTCGCTATCGGGCTGTTGTCCAGCACTTCGTTCTTCGTGAAAATCGATATTGGCTGTTCGAGAACGCTCGTGATGTAGGGGACCGTTTGGTCGATGTGCGTCAGGTCCCGGACCGTGTTCACGGCGTGCTGTATCGACGTTGTCAGAGACTTTGTCATGCCGTTCGTTGATTCGTCTGTGGCAAAACAATAAGTCAAGTGAATGAGGAGTTAGATTCGAATAGTTTATGATTATGTAGACTAAAGAGATCGTTATCGATTTTTCTAGAGTTCAGGCCCAAGAACTAGCAGTATTAGCTCTACTGCTACTGGCTCTTTTTTAAGTTTTCTTTCTTTTGTAAGTGACACGAATTTGTGCAGGACATCCTGTATGATTTTGCGGTGAAGTAACCTTTTTATTGCTTAGATGGGTGGACGAGCTCACGGTACCTGGTGTAAAGTGGTTACCGGAGCCCATAGACATCTACAACGTAAATGCCGCCATATACCTTGTGATATAAGTTCTAAGGTCTCAGTGCTCTCGCTGCCCCACCCTTAAAACCGAAAGGCATTACTGCTTCACGGCAGAAATAGACAGGGTGGTGGTACCTACCCGTGCGGACTCACAAGAGGTCCTACCACCAGTAAAGATAAATATTTTACTAAGCCGGAACTTATGAAAAAATAGAATATGATGACGTCATTAAGGTATATATTTGTATGTATGTCCTTATGCCATGAACTCTTCTGCTCAATTAAACAAAAACAAAAAGAAGTTTGTCGCCTTTCCTCTACTTAAAGAAAAGAGAGGTAAGTCATTTTCATATTCGACGAATATTTTATTTAAAATAAAATGAATTAATTCTACATTTTGTCATTAGCTGTCTCTCCGAAATAAGTTTAGAAGGATAAGTTAATAAAGATTAGAAATTAATTATGTAAAACCGGTCGAGTGGTTTGTTTTAATTAAATTATTTGACCACAGACACTAAAACGATTAGAGGATATTTTTATTATGTTAAATTTGAAATTGAAAAGATTGAAAAGATTCCCTTGCTATTGAATTAATATTGGCTGCTGATTTTTTTCCCCTACCTAATCGTTGGTTGTGTGAGAGGTTGTTCCAACCACGTGCGGACGCGTAGGTGAGCTCATGGATTCAACCTGAGCGTATTGCTAACAATAACATATTATTATACTGATCAAAATAGTGTTGTGAAAAATGACGCAAAAGAGTCAAAGATCTACCTAAATTTAGCGACGTTTTTCCGCCTCGATAGGAAATGGATTTTGAAATATCACATTACATTCATTAACCCTTTTAGTGCTAAGCTAAATTTCTCATATTTCGAAGAAATTATTAACGTATTTTTGAAAAAAAAAGATCCTTGTAATGCTGGAACCACACTGCGTTATGCGCTATTCGTTATACGACTACGCCGTATTCGCCAAAATATTTGTTAAGCGCGCAAGCAACAAACATGCCATCCACACTTCGAACTTGTGCGCTGAATTATGCCAAATAAGGCAAATATGTGTCTTGTTTGCGTGGAGCGATGGACGTGTTGAGAGTTGCCACAATTTATTATTTCCTAAATGTTTCTTACCAATACTTGTTGTACAAAGTTACTAAAAGGCCGAAAAGAAAACGCTGGTGGATGATTACAAGTCATAAGACACGTCGATACACGACCGTCACAAGCGAGCGAATGGCTCACCGAAGTGTGGCCAGTCGATGCGCATATTCGCCTTATTCGTGTCCTTTGAAGTGTGTCAAAAAACCGACAAGTCGACGGATACGCGTATTTGCTATTCGTCCTTATGCGTTATGCGTACGAATAAAGCGAATATTGGCGAATATACTCTCCACACTTCGCCGTATGCGCGTGAATAGCTCGCATAACGAATAGCGAATAGCGCAGTGTGGTTCCGGCATAAAAAATATTGATTAAATTCACAAAAATACAAAAATCAATGCTAAATTCACAGCAAAATAATTTTAAATGGTTATTTATAAATGTTATTAGCTTATAAAAAACGTTATTCATGCGCGCGCTAAGACATGTCCGTACAGGGCGATACTTATAATCAAACCACGCAATAGTCGGTATTCAGACGCTCCGCGCTTTATACGCATTAATAGAGCATCGATCTACCGAAGGTCCGCGCTCAAAGGTTTAATTTAAAAGCATTTCGTTATTCTTGTTGGTCAGCGCGTAGCACTACACTACACAGTACGGGTCGTGCTTACAAACAGAGAAACCTATAGCCATTCCTCAGATACACGAATATACAGGAATACAAAATGCCTCGTTAAGGTAATATAAAAAGCGTAAAATAAAAATGCAAAATAATAATTTAAAACATTTGTATATTCATATATAAGTACAATGGCCGTGCTTAAATACATTAACTAGTGCTTTAAGGCTACACAACAACACGACTGACTCGATCGCTTTTAGTGAAACAGAAATGCAAATATAGACTAAAATCGTTGTGGCAACAATATCTAAGCGCGTCTACACTAGCCCTTACAATCTAATGTTAAACGTGCTTTATAAATTTTATTACTTTTTTTTTTTATTAAATAAAAGTCAAGCATTTTGCTACCATGAAGCCAGTTTGTGCGTGTTTTGTCATAAATTAATTGGGAAATTCACGTCTCGATAATACGCAGTGTCTTTTAAACCTTAACTTCTGCGTTGCATGGTCTTTTTTTTAACAGCACTTTCTATACTTTAATTATTTTTTGTTAATGACACTCCATTGGTTTTGAAGATATATTTATTGAGAATAGTCCTACTATTTGATTGAGCCAGCGATATCATCACGGACGAAGTAAAAACTTAATTCATAGAAATTTAATGTTAATTTAATTATCCACAAACAAAATCCCTAAAGATTAAATATAACAACGATATGACATTTTAACTGTCAAACTTAAAAGTAATAATTAAAAAGACTCTTACGGTTTAAAGTCGCGTTAAACATTGTCACCATTATTATTTCCGACGTTTCCAATAATTTAGACTTTTCACTGCTGGATCGAAAAGTAATTTTAATTATGTATACGACTCGTCACAACCATAGATAATACTAAAGTCAGAGTTAAGAAAATTATTTTGTATAGTCTGTGTCATTATCGATGTTACGCAAAACAATATGGCTACCAGTTGAATCAACTGTGCACTAAGGTAACGTTAGATTTATAAAAACAATTTAAGTTCAATAATACCTAAAATCTATAAGCTAATAATTACGAACCTTGCAAAGTTAAAACTATTATTTTTTGCTATTATATAAGTACATGTGTAGTACATATGTAAGTATATAAGTACATATAAGTACAAGTGACGAAGAGCACAATTAAATGAACCAAATTACTACATAAAATAAACGGCACCATTACGTGCTTAAAAAATAATATAAAATTATTATTAGATATTATTATTGTCCAATTGTATTTAATAATACAATTTTACTCTAAAAAGGCACCATTATCTAATACTAGAATTATTGTTACCTAATTCATTCATAATGTACAATATAATCTTATTACATTTACTAAGTAATTTACCATTTTGGAAGCAGTCCGAGTAAATCTTCACGGACACATTTTAAATACAGCTTATAAGGGAACTCAAGCTGAGAAGGTGATAGCATCTTAATGTTAGCGGGATAAGGTAGAATTTTCATCTTCTCAATTGAATCTTCTCAATCAATTGAATTTTTCGAATTCTTGCATGTTACTTCTAACGAATTATATAATAATATATTTATGTATCTATTAACTTTCGTGACTTTGTTTTCCTCGTTTGTGTGGAATTTTTAATTTTCAGTTTTGCGAGGTTACATTATGAATATCTGTTTCATTAATATTTCAATATTAATTTGTTTGATAAATAAAAATTTGGTAAATTGTCTACTTAATCTACCTTGATATTTCTGCATATTTTAAGCGACAGGTTTGGTTCGAAAAAATCGTTTATCGAACAGCGATTTGAAGCGAATTCCGCGTCTTAAGCCATATTTAAAAATATACCCATGCGGACGAAATATAACCAGAGGGCTCTGAACCCATGCGTAGGCCGTTTTCAAATCGTACATAAGACGCAATACCAACGCACATTTACATAAAAAAGGCGAACATTTTACTGTTATTACAACAATTTTTCGAGAAATGTCCCCTTATACCAGATTTAAAATTAATTAAAAGAAAAAACGTAAAAATAAATTACAAATATAAAAAATAATTAAGTATGATAATATTTTTGGGATAAATTGCTGACCTTTAGTCTTTAGAATACCGTCAGCAATCAAGTTACATAATAATTTAAATTAGCATATAAAATAAAACTATTTACAATCAGCAAGCAAGTATCATTACATTATTTTCAACATTAAAACAATATGTACATACTAGACGCTATATAATATATTGTTGTATTAAGTATATAAATACAAAAAATTACACACTACATACAAATTGGTTCTTATTTTGGTATCGACAAAAAAAAAACAACAATAAAATATAATCTTCAATATTAAAACAAAAATTACACGATTACACAGAAATGATTCAACATTATTGATTTATTTATCGTTGATTTATTTATTTTTCTTAAAAAATATATATATATTCACTTTCTCTTTCAACCTAGATTGAAATCTACATTAATAAGAAATGAAGTTTGTTTTGTAATGTCAAAATACCTAACTGATTTTTACTAAATGCATATTTACGGTAAATATAATACGGTAAAAATAAAAACGAATAAAACCTGATCTTTTTTATCTATTGGATAATAAAAATCTACAATTTAGTGTAAATGTATATAACAATAAAATTCAAATCATGAAACATAAAATGAATTAAGTAAAAGGAACCCCAAACAAAACGGAGAGCAGAAGGTCGTCTCTATGACAAGTTGTAATTGCTATACTACTGAAGATATAACCCAAGGAAGTTTGACGTCAGGCGACGGGTTGTGAAACTCATAACAAATCACTATGCAGCATGACAACTCTTTTTTTCTTTTTTTCCTACCTATGCTGATAGCCTTGAGAGGCTATTTCAGCTTCTCCTTGACGTGTAGGTGAGCTCACGGGGCTCAAACCGGGAGTGTTGCTAACACTGGCCCTAGCATGAGCCGCGCTTCGCAGAATCTACCGCCGGATCGGAAACGCGACCCACTGAGAAGATCCGGCGAGAAACTGAGTGGCCTAAGCATGATAGCAGCGACCGCACATGAAGTGAGAAAAAGCAAGAAAAAGAAAATTTAAACAGTATTCATTACAAAAACGCAAATTGTTTGTTTTTTGTGACGAAACAGCTTGACTGCTTTTTGCGGAATGGCAGATAGCTGATGCTATCAGAGTGACTTACCTACTTTTATTTATGAAAAAGTATTAGGTTTCCGAGCAAAAATATTAAAGTCATGAACAAAATTCAATTCTAACAGATCATTTTTGATATCAGACAAGGCCACTGCCCACTATAACTTGCTTAGTGATGTAAAAATTATTAATAATTAACAAAAATAATGATTCAATGCTCGTTTTTATTTTAATTAGGATCTTTTAGGACTACTTTTGTTATCGTCGTCCGGTTGCCTGTTGATAGCTCCCGGTTTTCAGTAAAGGATCGTACACATTAGGGCGGACCGCATCGCATCGCACCGCATAACATCACTCTAATACATTTTATATAAACTAGATTATCGTATAGGTACTAAGGGCGACAAACCGCGATGCGCTGCGACTTATCGCCACTTTAGTATGTGCGAGCCTAAACATGACGCGGTAAACATTTACAAAACAAAATTAATGAATTGTGTAAAGCACAACTATAATAATTGATGTAAAACAAAAACAAATTCATCAGTGAATGGCACTAGGTATGTTATTTTACGATTCAAACTTTATTGCGCGTTACGAATAGTTTTAAAGTTCCGCGACTATTCTGTTATTTTTTGTTTTAAAATAATTCTCAGTATTTTGGCACTTTTGTTAGCGCCACGATTACAGGTGGACTGAAGACTGCGGGGAGTATGGTAGGAGCAGACAAACCAGTCTAACCACTTGCTATGCGGGAAGGATGTTTTTTTCTTAAGGGATCTTATGACCTGGTAACTAAGACCTTTAGGTCAAATTTTATTTTAATTTGAATGAAAACTTTTGTATATGAAAAATGATATTATGAAATGAAGTTGATGAATGAAAACAAAATGAAATAAAATGAGATGAGATGATATGGGATGAAATATAATTTCAGTAAAATGGTAGTTATTTACTGAGACTTTTTCATTTAACTTTTTGGAGGATCCCGAGAAGGTACTTTCAGCGATTTTGTTCATTTTCCCACATTTGTGCACTTTGACAGATACTAAACAGTTAATAAACCACCGTTAATACACATTTAAACCTGAAGAAACAAGTTACTAAACCACCTTTATTACACATTTAAACCTGAAGAAACACTAAATAGACAAAATGAGTCGTCTATTATCAAAGGTGGCAATCTGTGCATTTGGACAAAAAAATGTTATTGATATGTCAATACAGATTGATTTGAATATAATCGTCTCCTTCAAAGTATACGGTTCAAAACCTGCATTAAATAAAGGTTAATAGTTAACCTGTTATTTATCTAAGATGTCGTTCCGAAGAGTTTTGTGACTGCCAATGGAATACAAAGTCAATAATTCGTTTTTCTGATTTACCAATAATTATCCAAAAGTCAGATTGCCGGCTTTGATAATAGTCGACTCAAATAAAACAAATCTCACAACTTCATTCCTCGCGTTTGCGACAAAAAGTCCGGAAGGATGGTAGAAGCAGACAAACTAGTCTACCCACATACTAATTTGTTGTTGTTTGTGTTGCTACCAGCGGAATTCGACAATCCTCCCCTACAACATACACTTACAGTATAGACAGTTTTTTTACCAATTTGGATTCCGTCCATACGCTAACTTGAGGCCGGGGTGATGCTTAAAGTTTTTATATATATATATATTCTTTTTATTGCCCTTGTAGGCAGACGAACATACGGCCCACCTGATGGTGAGTGGTTACCGTCGCCCATGGACTTCAGCAATGCCAGGGGCAGAGCCAAGCCGCTGCCTACCGCTGAATTCGGCTATTTCAATTGTTCATATGACTAGTTTCGCTATACGAAGTAGCGTTCAGTTTGTGAAACTCAATCCAGTAATTAGGTTCGCACTCCAGTCTGCGTTCAGTCAGAGCAGATTAAAGCGTTTTTAATGACACTGATATGTTCAGTGAGCACTCACTGAGTTTCTCGCCGGATCTTCTCAGTGGGTCGCGTTTCCGATCCGGTGGTAGATTCTGCGAAGCACTGCTCTTGCTAGGGCCAGTGTTAGCAACACTCCGGTTTGAACCCCGTGAGCTCACCGACACACGTTAGAGCGAAGCTGAAATAGCCTCTCAAGGCTATCAGCATAGGTAGGAAAAAAAAAGATATTTTCGTTTATCCAAGAAGAGATGATAAGTTTTTTTGATAGGATAAGTCTCGCTGGATATTGTCGGATCGAGTCATTATCGAGTTCCAGTGGTAGCATCCAAAAGCGGCGTAGAAAGTAGAGGGTACACAGGAAATTGTCTGCTCCTAGCGTCTTTCCCGCAGTCTTCACTGTACCCGGTAATAATAACCGGTTAAATAATTCTGTCGATAATCTAATTTTAAGTAGATACCTACTTATAAATTTGGTGGCGATCATTCAAAAATCGTTTCATAACTAACAAGGCCTTGTTGAGTTTATTTAGCTAAGTACAATAATACATGTATAATAATTAGCCGTTTATTTCTCAAACCATTCTATTTATTGTCTAATATGGCCATCATAAAATTAATAAAACACACACAGACACACACACAAATACAATTCGTATAAAATGTAAAAGAAACGGAATGATAAATTTCGAACTAAAATCTCGAATTAATACTGTCGAATTAAAACCATCAAAACATTATAATTTTCATAGTTCACGTTGGCATAAACCTGTCCAGTTTTAAACTCAGTATACCTGAGCCATAATGTTTTCAATTAACACATTTAATGCCAACTACACGGCGCCGTAAAGGATCGTGGGCTAGAAAGGTCTCCGGGGCACCAGTAATCTCTCAAACACAAAAAAGAGAATCGTGGGCGGAACACACGGCGCCGTGGCTTGCAATCATGTTTAATGTACCCATCGGTACCATTTCCACCTTTGCGATAACTTTACGTGACGCACATGGCCATATGCGTAAAGTGGCGATCTTATAATCAACTGTTGGATTAGGGTTCGGGCTATTAATTTAAACAATTTTTTCATGCTACGCGCCACGGCCCCCTGTGTTCGGCTCCCCAATTCTTCGCGACGTTGTTTACTTGACATACATGTCCACGGCGCCGTGTAGTTGGCATTAAATTTGTTAAAAAAAAGGGGGCTCAGTGTTTAGATTCACAACCATAATTATTTTAATGTTGTATACGGATAAATAATTTGGGGCAGAAATAGGCAGGATGTTACCTACCCGTGCGAGCTCATAGTAAGTATACCGCNTGTTCGGCTCCCCAATTCTTCGCGACGTTGTTTACTTGACATACATGTCCACGGCGCCGTGTAGTTGGCATTAAATTTGTTAAAAAAAAGGGGGCTCAGTGTTTAGATTCACAACCATAATTATTTTAATGTTGTATACGGATAAATAATTTGGGGCAGAAATAGGCAGGATGTTACCTACCCGTGCGAGCTCATAGTATGTATACCGCATGTATACCAGGACATTCGAGCCCATTGTCACATCAACCTGATTGTCGCCAATCGGGCACAAGTCAAAGGTTTTCCAAGCCAATTAAAGTTTTAATGCACCATGTTATTCCTTCAACATTCGTTGGACAGTTGTTAGTTATACTGAATTAGTACCACCACAATCAACCAATCCATCTTACACTCTAAGCCAGCGGTCGGGGAACTTTTTTAATTATTACCCCAAGATATTTTTGTGTAAGTTGATATTACCCCATGGCGAAGACCAAAGAAAACTAAATCGCTTCTTTTCAGCACCTTTCATATTATAGTCCCCATGACAATTTTGAAAAAAAAAAAAAAAAATTTTCGTTTCATTTCATTTCGTTTCATCGAGTTTGAAATCACAACGATTCTAAAGAAGTTCAACTTCAATATATACTTTTTACTCACAAAAGTTTCATTTTTACCCCCCCAAAATTTCATTTTACCCCATTTGGGGTAATTTACCCTGGTTCCCCGACCGCTGCTCTAAGCGGATGCTTCTAATTCGCCAGCTTCATAAAATATTAAGTCATACTTAATTTACACTTAGTTTTACCAGTACGCTTAATCAGAATAGTATTAAGAAATTATCCAGTCGATCACTTATAGGCAGTTTCCAGCGAGGCTCCAACTGGTTCCCGGACTAAGGCACTCTTCTTGCGAACACATTCGATCACAACCATTAATCATATTAATGAGACATGCAGGCACTTATTTATGTTGAAAACTATTTTAATTTTCTAAGTGAAAAACTTCAAATCTAACATTTGACATGTGTCACATTTGACATACGTCACATGAATGTGATTCTGTTTTATTATTCATCAACTATTCGAACGTTAAGTATTTTTGAAATCGCTATGCGAGCGATTTGCGTGTTAAATTTTTTTTTTAAATATATTTCCTTTGTCTTGTTCATGTTGGTATGATAAATCTTCTAAATCAGTTTTATAACTATTAAGTACATCATGTAATTCTTAATATGTTTAGAGTTAATAGTACTCGAGTCACCACGTATTGTCATACGAATCATATTTCATCAATATCATTTACGATATAAGTCAAATAATGTGTAGTTTTGAACTAGACAATGAGAATCGGAGGATCAAATCGCTAATTCCTTTATGTGACGTTTTGGTTATTGAACAGACCTGTGGCCAGAGCGGCGGGTTCCGGAGCGTGGGCCAGTCTGACCAGCGACCTTGGACCCTCGAGAACGAAGATCTCGTCTTTATTCACGGAAACTGACAGAATCCTGTAACAGAAGAGACCATAATATATATAAGGGTTCTAGAAGAGAAGTAAACACGAGTTGGGCGGTGACATCCGCTGCCAACTGCCTTTTTGAGACAAAATATTCGCGATATACCTACATCTACGGACTGCGATGATCACTTATGACCGTTTATGCTCCTTAGCTAACTGATTCTGTGCTTCACCGGAACATAATTTAGACGCAAGTTGAATGACTCATATTCTCCTAAACGTCACGTCTTCCTACACGATAACACGTTGATTTGGATTTTTAGGATGTTCTTTCGACACACACAAAACCGTTTAATATTAATTTTCATTTTCATTGTGTGCATAAAGCCATTCGTCAGATTTGTTTTGTTCGTATTGTGTTGGCTATAATTGAAGACGAAAGTTGAAATACCTAGTGAAACAAAATTATTACCCCGATTTTATTGTATACTGGCAACCCTATCTATATATAAAAAAATTACTTGCTGTTCGTTAGTCTCGCTAAAGCTCGAGAACGGCTGGACCGATTTGGCTAATTTTGGTCTTGAATTATTGGTAGAAGTCCAGAGAAGGTTTAAAAGGTAGATATATATGAAAATGCTCGGAATAAAAATAACAATTTTTATTTATCGATTGAGGCACTACGAAGTCTGCCGGGTCAGCTAGTATTTATTAAAAAAATAAATAAATAAATAAATAATAGTTACATACTTTCTCAGATCGTCGACAACAGCGACAGCGGTCAACGACCTCGGGTCTAGGATGTACAGGATGTGCTCGTTGTGCGAAACTAGGAAGTGCTCGCGGAATACGAACAGCGGGCCCAGGTTGTAGTCCTGGTCGCTGTGCGAGTGCTTCTTCTGCGAGGGATTCAGTAGTTCGGCTATCGTTAGCGGGTTCGATATCGCTTCCTGGAAAACGAACAAAATAATAATAATAAAAAATAAAAGGATTGTGTGGTTTTATGAAACTACGGTAAAAGTGAAACTTTTTTTCGCATTATAGACATTAAGCTCTGACAAACAACATTTACATTAAACACTGACAAAAACAAACAAAAAAGCATGGAGCACTGACACAAATGAGTAATAGTCTATACACTACACAGTCAGCTGCTGCGAACTATAGGCGCCGCCATATTGGCCTTGGCTCCGCGGCCGACCGTCACGCGACATGCAACACACAGACGAAAAAGTTTGAGACGATGTATGCGACGATGTATAAAAAAGATGCTGAATGGAGATCTGTTGTGCTTCTCACTTCCAATACGGAGCAATCATTCGTTCCGATTTCAAGGCTAGTACTGCCGTTTTACAATACTATTGAAATCTCATATCCCGAGGTATATTCAGTATGCTTGGTGCGAGTTTTTTAACGTTCTCGATAGCGTAAAAGTTAACTCAAATATGTATGCAGTTGGAACGTTTGCCGCTAAGGGCGCTGTTTTTTTCCTACCTAAGCTGATAGCCTTGAGAGGCTATATCAGCGTAACCCTAACAAGTAGGTGAGCTCGTGGTGCTCAAATCTGTCGAGGTTGCTGACACTAGCCTTAGCAAGAGCAGTGCTTCGCAGAATCTCCCACCGGATCGGAAACGCGACCCACTGAGAAGATTCGACGAGAAACTCAGTGGGAATGCCACTACAGCAGTCCGCACACACTGTCCTTGCTAGTATTCATTTAGACTGTACACATTATACAGGGTCTGTCGTAATTAGTGGATAATCCGTTAAGGGAGGGTAGCCCGGGTGTCTAACTCTAAGAAAATGTACGGGGTGGATCCAGGAGCTTTTTAAAAAACAAAAGGAATGGTGACTGACACTGAGTTTATTTATAAAAGAAATAGTACAAACGATGTGTGTTTCCGCTGCTCAAGCCAAATCTGTTCTGCCGCGCTTTAGCAATAAATCTTCTTTATATAGAGACGATGTATTCAAGAATGTCTTAGTCTGAGGAGAGCATATGAGTCGTCTATTATCAAAGGTGGCAATCTGTGCATTTGGACAAAAAAATGTTATTAATTTGTCAATACAGATTGATTTGAATATAATCGTCTCCTTCAAAGAATACGGCTCAAAACCTGCTTTAAATAAAGGTTAATACTTAACCTGTTATTTATCTAAGATGTCGATCTGAAGAGTTTTGTGACTGCCAATGGAATACAAAGTCAATAATTCGTTTTTCTGATTTACCAATAATTGTCCAAAAGTCACATTGCCGGCTTTGATAATAGTCGACTCATATGTCGCTTTTTCGCACTAAAAGTGTACAATTTTAAAGTATATTCGAAATTGAGGTAATATGCGTAAACATTTGGTATCACCAGTACTTTTCTCATAAATACTGTCAAAAGAGCGTAGTTAAGTTTTAGTTTTTTTTTTTAGTTTACCTATGTTTTGACTACTATTAACAAAATTAATACATAATTTTATCTCACTTTAAAAGACAGACAATGTAACTGGAAAAAAATAAAAATAAAATATTGCAAATATGATTATTAATATTAAAGATATTACATGTTAAGCCTTTAAAACACTGTCCTGTAAAATTGGTAAGTTTTGAGGTTATACAGTTTTAATGCGAGAAGACGATGTAACAGCGAGACACTCAGTGGGCTGCACCACTAGAAGCCGCTTCAGAAACCAATAATTGGACCATAATGTTCATTATTTGAAATTATTTTGTATATAGGTCTTATAAATTGGAAGAAGGGAATAAATCCAACACATTTACATGTATGTATATAAATGAGTAATATATAATTTCAGCCAGGTCTATTAGTAAATAAGTAAGAATTTATATTTTCTTCAATATCAGTGTTGTTACGTGAGCCTATAAGTTGAAACTAAAAAGTTATAAAGTTTTTTTTTTTTTATTATCTCCATTATTGTTTTTTGGATTTATTCCCTTTTTCCGATTTTTGTGGTTCAATTAACACCGGATGACGCGTTGTTGCTCTAACAGTCAAGACCGGAACTATCGCGACTGTCAAATGACGTAGCTCTCGTACCTTGAAGAGCAGCGTGTGGAGGACGTTGCCGTTCCTGTCCGCCCTCCAGAGGCGCAGGCCGGGCCTCGCGCAGTAGGCGGCGGCGGCGCCCGTGCGGTACGAGTACTGGAACACGGCCCCCAGCGCGCACAGGCTGCCCAACCCGGACCAAACAATTGTTAGAGACTATAAGGGTATTCGGTTTAAGCGCCATTCTACAACTTTACAGGAAAGCCATTTTTTTATTGCATAAATGGATGGACGAGCTCACAGCCCACCTGGTGTTAAGTTACCGGAGCCGCTCCGGTAACCGGCTCCGGCGGAGCCCATAGACATCTACAACCTAAATGCCGCCACCCACCTTGAGATATAAGTTCTAAGGTCTCAGTATAGTTACAACGGCAACATTACTGCTTCACGGCAGAGATAGGCGGGGTGGTGCGAACTCACAAGAGGTCCTACCACCAATAAAAGCACCTCACCTTTTCCTCTCCTTCTTCCCGAGCTGCGTGACGTGCCACGTCCTACCGTCGGCGCTCCTTTCGCATACTATCCCGCGGTACACGCTCGACACCAGCAACGTGTTTTGGTAATAGCTCATCTGGACTATCTCGTGACCTTCGTTAACTATCTCCATCGACTTGCAGAGGTGCTGCAATGAATAGGGAACTTCGATTACGAGCGGCAAAATCGAAGTCTTTTTTTTCCTACCTAAGCTGATGGTCTAGATAGACCATGTCAGCGTAACCGGGCGAGTAGGTGAGCTCACGGGGCTCAAACCTGACGATGTTGCTAACACATGCCTAGCAAGAGCAGTGCTTCGCAGTTTGTACCATCCGGCTATGGAATGAGCTCCCCTCCACGGTGTTCCCCGAGCGCTATGACATGACCTTCTTCAAACGAGGCTTGTGGAGAGTATTAAGCAGTAGGCAGCGGCTTGACTCTGCCCTCGGCATTGCTGAAGTCCATGGGCGACAGTAACCACTCACCATCAGGTGGGCCGTGTGCTCGTCGCCTACAAGGAGAATAAAAAAATTAAAAACTAACACCGGATCGGAAACGCGACCCACTGAGAAGACCCGGCGGGAAACTCAGTGGGCGCGAAGAGTCGATGCCTGGATGACGCTTCAGTACATAGCTTTTGAATTATTAAGTCAATCTGAGTCCGCTAGGTTAGGTAACATCGTCCTAGTTCCACTACAACTCCGTCATACAGTTGAATCATTTGGGCGAGAGCCGTCGATAGATCGACTCTCTATTAATGCTTATGTACAAAGTGCAGAGCGTCGGAACACTGACTATTGAGCAAATTTGATTACAGGTATTAGGCATGGACCTGTACGGACGTGTCTTAGCTCGCGCTTAATAAATAATCATTTAAAATTATTTGCTGTGAATTTAGCCATTAAGTTTTTTAAAGTTGAAATTGTTTTTTAAGGTATTTTTATTAAAAAATCCTTTAGCAATTTTTGCAAAGTAGGTATGTGAAAAATAATTAATAGTTTAAAAAAACTAACAAAATACGCTTTTATAGAAAATCTAACTAAAAAATAGAAAATAAATTTTAATAAATTTGAATAAGAAATAGTGTAAGAAAAAATAATTTTATTGTAAAAAAGCGTGGGTTGCTTTTCAGGTATCATCAAAATAACCCTTCTACTCATATCTGTCCATAAAATATTTATAACTACCATGCATTTACTGTAAATACGATGTGTTAATAATAGTTACGAGTTTTTATTTATTTTAAATCGATAAAAATACTCACCATATAAAAATCGATTTCCGTCATTATAATAACACCGTTTTTGTCGCCCGAGAACAATCGCATCCCGTTCTTCGACCATTCTATCGAAGTTATTTCGCTTTTATGTAGATCGCCTATAGTATACCTGTGGGTTTACAATATTTCATAAGACGCCTGTCTTGGACGGCAAGTAAAGGAATAAAAGGGCAAGGAATTTTACAACTGACACTCAATTTTGTACCTGCACCAATATTTTCAGTCTTTACGAAAGTAATATTCACGCAAAGTCAAACTGGTAGATTTATGGAGGCTTTGAAACAAAAAAAAATCATCAAACCTTTCGACTTTGGGTTCAACTTTAGGTTTGAATGTGTCAGGAACGTTTTCTGGGTGCTCCTTAGGTATCTGGAAGACGGTAACTTGACCGTGTGCATTACCAGCACCGACCATATAATCAACAGTGTTCACTATTTTCACATAAGTTATTGGAGAGTTTGATATCTGAAACAAAATGATTGGGCACATGTTTAAGGCTGGCTAATCATACTGTGTTACACTCTATCAACCTAATCTTAATTACATAATCTATTTTTATCCCTATCCCCCTTTGATTAAATTATTTCTGTGCACTCATTCCTAGTTCATCTATCCATTCAGTCAGTTAAGTTTCAATAATACCTGACTGTTCTGGTACAAAGCTATAATGGGCTTCAATTTTAAACAATGTCCATTATATGATTGAAACTTTGACTCTATTTCTCTAGGTGGGTGATACTCACATAGTGACATCTCAAATCAAATCAAATCAAAAAAGTTTTATTCAACATACTTAAATGAAAGTACATACTTGTTGAACGTCAAAAGAACTACCGCCAATTCACAAGAATTAGCCTACGTCCTGAGAAGAATTGGCAAGAAACTCAGCGGGCATGTCTTTTTTCTTTTTTTTTTTTTAAATATTAGATTTTTATTTTTTTATTTTATGTGCTCCTATAACCTTAATATCAGATGGGTCATGTGCTTATGCTAAACATCTACAGCAATAAGAACCTTTATTCACAACTTGATGTAAATATCAAGATTGTATCAAGTCAATAAACCTTTCAACACAGTATTGAGTAATGTAAAGAGGGGGCCTTATCTTAAAATCTATTTACAATAAATTATGAAATAAACACAAATACAAGGAAGTATTTAATACTTCTCTTTGTATGATGTAAACAACATAATCATTCTGTTTACAGTTATAACGATTTAACATTCTTATCTATCACCATGAATATTATAATGTGACACTGATGGAATTTATTTATTTCTTTCAATTTTATTCATTACAATCTGTTGCCAATGTGTGTGTATGTCTTGTTAATATAAAAATTCAGTACCTTTTGGATAAGACAATTTTGATGTGAAAAACGTTGTAGTAAAATTAAATATCTATGTATAATTGGTAAAAAATTTGTAGTATAAACCATGAGAACCATGAGAAACAAGCCATTGTAACTTCTTCGAGAACAGAACGACCAAACACCATACTTAGAAGCACACAAAGCTCTAGCTACAATTTATTGATTTTGTTTTTTATTGAGAACCAATTATAATTGAAAAATCATGATGAATTCGTTTTTAAAACAAAGCAGAAATGAATCTGACACACATTAATACAGATCAAATCATACAGGACACAGATTCAAAATATTCAATTCAAAGTTAAATATTATTGGTTTTGCTAAACAAATGAGCCCAAAAAGCATTTGCTGTTATTCTAAACCTAACTTAGAGAAGTAAAATTTTAATTAGTTCTAATTGCATTTTCTTCGGTTTTCTCAAATCATTAACCTAATTAAAACTTTTATGGTTGGAACTCATGTTTATAATTGCCATTATATTACTTCTGATCTATTGATACATTGCTCATTTTTGTCATGGATTAGTCATGGTTCTGATTTAAAGGTCGTCACAACCATTTTGCTATACAATTAAGACTATGACCTTGTGCCTCATGGTGGGTAAAAATATACTGTAATATCTATGGGTTCCAGTAACCCAGTGCCCAGAGCAAACTATACGCCACATTGTCATGGAATGCCCACTAACGAAATTTGCAGGCCAAGTGGAAGATCTCAAAAATTTAACAGAAGAAGCTATCGATTATTTCACAAACTGTACATTTAAATTATAACCACGCAGTGTAAACGAATGCCATATGATAAATAAATAAATAACCTTTTTAATACCATATACCATTAATAGGTCATAGGCCTATAGGCCATAAACTATTCACCAGTTCATACAATAAAAGAAACGAATAAATTATTAAGTGCCACAAACTTAACTAAATTAGTTACACACACTAGTAGATGGATAACATTTTTCATTATAATATTTGTAAAGATAGTGGACATCCCTTACAATTAACTTTTTCTGCTCTTGCTCTGTTTAAAAGGCAGTTTGATTTAATGTAGAATATCAATAAAACAGCGTTAACAGAGGTAAAGGATTATGATGTCATAAAAATAATTACTAAGTAGAACTGTGAATGAAATTACTATAAAATAGACTTTAAATCTTCTTCTTTGTTTTCACAGAGCAACGTCTTGAAGTCTTATTTTAAATTATATCAATAAGTACAATTAGAAGTTCATACCTTATATATTTATAATATGTTGGTATACATTATTATATACTGTGCTGTATCTTGCACTAAATTTTAAGTAGTATAACATGAATTTGTTGCATTATATGTACATAATTTTACTAAAATTCCTGTAACATAATATAACTGTATGTCTACAAACCTACAACCTTGACATACTTAAACTTTCTCTGAGAAACAGAAGGGGAAACAGTTTAATTATGTGGCAAAGCACTTGTACAAACATTGAAAATTATAATAAAGAAAATTCTAATAACCAGTTTTTTTAAATTATTTACAGAATAAAGCTAACGACTTGATCATCAAATTTTAAATTGACTATGCATTATTAAATTATGGAGTAAGGGGAAATCCCTGTGAACTTACCTCGCAGCGTAGTCTTTGAATATTTCCCTTCTTCCTGTCGTACCAGTAAACCAGACCGACGTTAGTCCCCAAAGCAATATATTCACTAACAGAATCAACACAAGTTAAGCACAGCTCACTAGAAAATATACCAGTTTGTATCCTAGGAGGTATTAAGTTTAAAATATGCGAACACGGTGCCCATTCACGGACAAAACCGTCCTCAGCGCCGCCAGGAACTTCCATGGTTTTTTCAAATTGTTATGAACTATTGATTTTTTACTGTTTCAAGATTATATCATAACATCTTGACTAGTTTAACACGAACATAATTACATGGGAGGAATGAAAAATGAAAGTGTCAACTGTGCCTGTATATTTGTTAAAGTACATACATATTAATATTTAATATAGGTACATATCTACCTACCTACCTACATATTTTGATTCTGATGTTGACATTTGATGTCCATCGCTTTTTTTTTTAAATATAAAATTGTCAACCTGGTTACCAAATCTTTAAGCCAAGTCATATATTTTCTTCTTATAATAATATCATGTTTTAATATAAATAATATAATAAAATAATTTGATCTAATTTGATAGAAAATGAAATGAGAAGTTGATTAATTTAAGACTACTTAATTTGGATAAAATTCAATTCGTTAAATTTACTGGATAAAATTCAATTCGGTAAATAAAAGTAATTTCGTTAAAAAATTAGTGTCGCGAAATCCACAGTATCGCAGTAACCATGGCGCCAACAGCATCAAAGCTATAATTTGCTATATTCAGTGTAGCTAAAGAAATGCTTATATACCTATAAACTTAAAAAAAGACGTTGGTAGATTCGAGGATGGTCAACAAGAAGGCATTTAGGAGCAATGAAGTTAGTGTCTAAATTAGCAGATGAAGATCCTGAGAGTTATAAAAACTATTTTCGAATGAGTGAAGATCATTTTGCTTTTTTACTGTAGGTGTTTCGGGTCCCAGAGACGTCCTTGTCGCTGATATTCATTAATAAGATCTAATTTTTTTTCTGTACTCCATCGTTGGTTTGCCATTTTCAACGCTTGAAGCGCGTCCAAACTAACAATACACACGTCCGCACAGCGCAGGCCCTTTCGCGACATTAGTTTCACGTCGCGTCTACACTATGAAATTAGTTGCATGACACTAATTTCACCAAAAAATCGCGCAGGGCACGAAACTAATTTGCATGCATGAATATATATTTTTTTATTGCCTTTGTAGGCAGACGGGCATACGGCCCACCTGATGGTGAGTGGTTACCGTCGCCCATGGACTTCAGCAATGCCAGGGGCAGAGCTAAGCCGCTGCCTACCTTAATGCATGCATCACGAAAGTATTAAATTACACGTGAAACTGTTGGTAAAACTAATGTCACGAAATTAATTTCATGCCACTAATTTCGTAATGTAAATTCGCCTTTACAGAGCATAATGCGACTCAGTGACGCACAATGCCGAAACTAATCAGGATTAGTTTTCCAATTACAGAGCATAATGCAACTCAGTGACGCACAATGCCGAATTGCGCATAATGCGCTCTTGTGCTGTAATTGGAAAACTACCTTGAATTGTTTTAGTTTGATCGTAATTTGGAGTCGTTTTAATCGATTTCATTTAGTCTTTGCACAACACTGGTATGAAAATGCCATTTGCCAACTTAGTAAAATTGTACACTTGTCATATTCTTGTCAAAAACTATCCGTAGGGGAAAGTTGTCTTAAAAATTGTATTTCTGCATTATTTTCTATAAGAAATGGCAGATATGGCCTCAGAAATACCTATAAACATCGAAGATAGTGTTAAGGAAACTATACAAAATGTAACTGAGAAGCCTCCTTCAAGTATTGAAGGGATTGCGATTGCATATTTAAGTTTAGTGATAATGGCTATTTTACCTATATTTTTCGGTTCATTTCGATCGGTGAAATATCTAAACGAGCAAAAGGTGAGTCCTGGCGGGTATTTAGCAAGCTATATGATAAAATTGTATTGTTTTAAAAAGGTAAACAACAATGTAAAATAGGAAAGACCGCGACACGTTTTATCGCCGTGGCAGTTTGTTTTCGATATAGAAAACCTTCAAATAAATTTCAATGCATCGAATCGTTTCGCATTTTTTTGTCTCGACAAATCAATTTTCAATTCTAATTTCATATAACCCATTCATCTATGATCATTGCAATTTTGAGAAAAACCTGTTTTTAGTATAATCGTCATTATAATTTGCTTCCGTAATATGTTTATTCCTTGTAAATTAACAAGACGACACAGTAAAAAAAAAGCTATTATGAATTACGTATTGAATAACATAATTGTGAATTAATATGTATGTATGCACTGTGCTATTGAATCAAAACTCTTCAGGAGAAACTTGAGCTTAGTTTTTGGTGCCTCAGTTAATCTTTAGTAGATCTTTTGTGAAAACTATCCAAGTCTAGTAGTGTTTGCTGCCACTTTTTAATTCTAGGATTCAGATTTGTGCCTCACATGATTATCCTAAAACATCTACAATGTGCCATCATTTTGAAGATGTCTCTAATGTTGGTATTGGGTACTTTATGCAGCATGTGGATGTGTGGAAGCTGAACATATTTGTACAGTACATTTTGTCTATTCCAAGATTTTAAAACAGCCAGCAAGCTATCTGCTACTGAAACTCATCAAAGACTAAAAATTCTCTTATGTATATCTTGCTCTTAATGGGCATTGGTTTTATTTTCTTGTTTTTCACTTCACTGAAAAAACACATTTTCCTATTAGAAAAAAAACCATGATATTTGCCTTTAATATAAAGTTATCGAACATGTTTGAGAATGCTTACAGTATAGTGCTTGATAAATAACATTAATTCTTTTTTTTTTTATAATGGCAATACGGGCATCTGGGAACAGTAAAAGGAGGTGGCGAACATTTACCGGCTGTTGAATTTTCAGTTCGCTAATAACTTGGTCCCATATGAAGGAGTTGTTCAAGTGACAATTGAGGAAAATGTGATCTATACTGCTGTCATTCAAACCACAACATTAATTCTTTTAACTTGGAACTCAAACCAAAAGTTTTTATGTAACACACAAACTTCAATTTTTGAATAAAAAAATAAAAACAAGCACCTACTTAAATCCTTGCAGATAAAGTCAGATTTTGTGTAACAGTAGTACAACTTAATGATTTTTTATTTATTTTTGTAGTCTGTATAGTAATTTTTGTCAATTTTAAATCAACTGTCAGCAAGATCTATGCATTTGAGGAAAACTAGGGCATTAGGTAACTGACTTAGTACACTTACAAAATATGAAATCCATGAAACACCATGTATTTATGAATAGTTATGAGAATTATTTAATGTCTTCAGGAACAATCTATGGCTCAAGGCTTATGTTATAGATAATATTCATACAGGATTGTGCTTTACCAAGATATGGAATAAAAAAATCAAAATGTTCTATGAACAATGAAATGTAAACAAAATGAAAGTTAACACACTGGTTGCCTTCGTCGTCGGCAGGATCCGAAGGCTGGGTCTGGAGGTGGCGTTCGATAAATCCCAGGCCCTGTTGTTCCACGGGACCCGGAGAGCGCCGCCTCAGGGGGCCCACCTCGTGATCGGAGGCGTTCGCGTCGAGATCGAGGCGACCGGGTTGCGGTACCTCGGCCTCGTACTGGACGGTCGTTGGAGCTTCCGTGCTCACTTCGAAAGATTGGGTCCCCGACTGATGGCAGCCGCCGGCTCGCTGAGTCGGCTGTTGCCGAACGTCGGGGGTCCCGACATGGTGGTGCGCCGCCTCTACACGGGGGTGGTGCGGTCAATGGCACTGTACGGGGCGCCCGTATGGTGCCACGCCCTGACCCGTGACAACGTCGCAGCGTTGCGACGTCCGCAGCGCGCGATTGCGGTCAGGGCGGTTCGTGGGTACCGCACCGTCTCGTTCGAGGCGGCGTGCGTGCTCGCCGGGACGCCTCCCTGGGACCTGGAAGCGGAGGCGCTCGCTGCGGATTACGCGTGGCGATGCGATCTCCGCTCCAGGGGGGAGCCGCGTCCCGGCGCGGCGGAAGTTCGAGCGCGGAAGCTTCAATCTCGGCGTGCCGTGCTCGAGGCGTGGTCTCGCCGCCTGGCGGACCCCGCCTACGGGCGACGGACCGTCGAGGCGATCCGCCCGGTCCTCTCGGACTGGGTGAATCGCGACCGAGGACGTCTCACCTTCCGAGCGACGCAGGTGCTCACGGGACACGGCTGTTTCGGTCGCTACCTGCACCTCGTCGCCCGGAGGGAGCCGACGCCGAAGTGCCACCATTGCAGTGGCTGCAACGAGGACACGGCGGAGCACACGCTCGCGTGCTGCCCCGCTTTCGCGGAGCAGCGCCGCGTCCTCGTTGCAAAAATAGGACCGGACTTGTCGCTTCCGACCGTCGTGGCTGCGATGCTCGGCAGCGATGAGTCCTGGCAGGCGATGCTCGACTTCTGCGAGTCCACCATCTCGCAGAAGGAGGCGGCGGAACGGGAGAGGGAGAACTCTTCCTCCCTCTCGGCGCCGTGCCGCCGCCGTCGAGCCGGGGGTCGGAGGAGGGCGTTTGTCCAGCTCCGGCCCCTATGAGGAGGCAGTCTCCTCCCGGTGATGGTCACGGGGCGACCTAAGGGGGCTGAGACTGCGCCGCACGCTACCGTCACTCTAGCGCGCTGGCACCAGGAGGACGGGACGACGCGTCGGCGGCTGCGGACTGCGATGCGGTCCGCATTTTCGTCGTCGCTGTCGTCGCCGAACATACTGTGGAAGAGCAACCCGGTCGGCGGTGTATCGCGTTCCGACCCGGCAGGCTGGTTCTGGCCCAGCGGGGTATCCCGGAACACCAGCGGCATCGCCCGGGCGGCCTGAAGGGCCGCCGTACCGCGGAGACTGACGTCGTTGGTCGTCGACTATCGCCTCGACGACCCGTCGGTCGGGCGTCCTCGGGGTGGCGCCGCGTGTCTGGTTGTAGTGTTGACCGCGGGAACCCCCCTACTCTGACCGGGTTTTGACCCCGGACGGAGATCGGACGCCGGGTGTAAGAGTGCAGGGGAGTCGTTTAGTGGGTGGGCCCTAAATTCCTTGGGCCCGCGGTCTGCTCTCAACACCTGCAGATCGTTGAGTCTCACATACCCCGCGCGCCCCCTAGGCGCGGGGACCTCGTAGGAGGTTCGGCCCTCGGCCCGGAAAAAAAAAAAACTGGTTGGACTACCTACACAGGAAGACTACCTCTACTTCTAGCCACTCTCTGCTTGCTTGTTGATAAAGATATAAAATATAGCATGTTTTGTTTCTGTTTGCAGAAAGCAGGAGAGCGTCATGAAACAATGTCCAACAAAGATGCTCTGATGTTCCCGTTGGTTGCATCGTGTGCTCTTTTCGGACTATATATTTTCTTCCAATTCTTCTCAAAGGAGTATATCAATCTGCTACTAACTGGCTACTTCTTCTTCCTTGGAGTTCTAGCATTGAGTCATCTGCTTAGGTATGTATGTCACATTCTATCTTGTAGCTTTTCTATAACATTAGCTAATGTTACATATTTTTGTCAACAGTCCGATCATCTCGTTCCTGGTACCAGCTTCGATACCAAACATTCCATTCCATATTCATTTCACCCGTGGTGAGAGAGACAACAAACAGGATATCATCAATTACAAGTTCACATCCTATGATGTGATCTGTTTGCTCATCTCGCTCTGTCTTGGAGCTTGGTACTTGCTTAAAAAGGTATTATTATTATTATTTATGTGCTTCTCAGTTATGAAATATAATTTTTTATTGTATATTGTATATCTACCAGACTTTTTGATTTCGTTTGGTTTGATTAATAATGGAAAAAACGAGCGAAGTTTCCTCACCCTTTATAGATAAACGGTTAATAATAACATGAAGTGATCAGTGTAAATACAAAAAGGTGTGTAATGTATAGAAAATGATTAAATCATGCGTTTATCGTGATTGCAAAACGTAAACTTGATTCAACACCTATTCATTATTATACAATGTGACACCGGAATTGTTTCTCACAATTCTCTCACAACAGATGTCCGAAGCACCTTTATTACGCGTGACGTCATTTGGGGCCAAACTAACGACGAGCACACAATAGAATTATGATTAATAATAAATCACCTGTAAAAATGTTAACGACTAACATAGTTTAGGATTTAACTCTAAAATTTCTTTTCGACAGCACTGGATCGCCAATAATCTGTTTGGAATAGCGTTCGCCATTAACGGTGTGGAGCTTCTGCATCTGAACAACGTGGTGACCGGCTGCATCCTGCTCTGCGGACTCTTCCTGTACGACATCTTCTGGGTGTTCGGTACCAACGTCATGGTGACCGTCGCCAAGAGCTTCGAGGCTCCCATCAAACGTGAGTTTTTTTTATAGCTTAGATGGGTGGACGAAGCCTACCTGATGTTAAGTGGTTACTAGACCCCATAGACATCTACGACGTAAATGCGCCACCCACCTTGAGATATAAGTTATAAGGTCTCAGTATAGTTGCAACGGCTGCCCCATATACCCGCGCGGACTCACAAGAGGTTGACCATTCTCTCCGTGACGCCAAGGACAGACACAGGAGCATCATCAAAGGGAAATTAATGTCTTATCAGGGAATCAAAATACAACCAAGTAATGAAGAAGACCACATGAGGAGAATTACATATAGAATTAAACTTATATAGGATATAAGGAAAATTGACAAGTTTTTTTTACATCTTAGATAGGTGTTCGAGCTCACGGCCCACCTGGTGTTAAATGGTTACCAGAGCCCATAAATATCTAGAACGTAAATGCCGCCACCCACCTTGAGACATGAGTTCTAAGATCTCACTTTTAAGAGTACTAATGCAGATGCAGCAATACTGAAATACAAGTAACTTGTAGATGTATGTAATGAAGCATAGTAAAATAATATTGATTCCCTTGCAGTGGTGTTCCCTCAAGATTTGCTGGTAAACGGTTTGAACGCGAGCAACTTTGCCATGCTGGGGCTGGGTGACATCGTGGTGCCCGGCATCTTCATAGCTCTCCTGTTGCGCTTCGATAAGAGCCTCAAACGGAACTCTGAGTTTTACTTCAGGTGTGTACTGGGACCAGAAAATCTATATATATAAAAATGAATTGCTGTTCGTTAGTCTCGCTAAAACTCGAGAACGGCTCGACCGATTTGACTACTTTTGGTCTTGAATTACTTGTGGAAGTCCAGAGAAGGTTTAAAAGGTAGATAGATACATATGAAAATGCTCAGAATTAAATAAAAATAACAATTTTGTTTTTCCTTTGATGTGTCCCCCGTTGGACGGATTCCTTTTGTTTGTTTTATACAAAAGTTTAGGTCTTTTATTTATCGATTAAGGCCTTTCGAAGTTTGCCGGGTCGCTAGTTTACAATAAATTTATTTTTCTAATGTGTGTACGTCCCGCTGCTAGATTTTCTTTTCAGCCCCGCGTGTGTGTTTATCAACACGTGGCTAACAACACGTGCACGTGTGTCACAGGGCTACGTTCAGCGCGTACATCCTGGGCCTGTTGGCGACCATCCTGGTGATGCACGTGTTCAAGCACGCGCAGCCCGCGCTGCTGTACCTCGTGCCGGCCTGCCTCGCCACCCCACTGGCCTTAGCACTCCTCCGGGGGGACCTGCCCGCGCTCTTCAAGTACGTACTCCGCAACACAACCCCACTTGTTCACTGATTCTCGAATACTAACTCGCTCATTCCTGAATCATATCGACGCTTGAAAGGCAAACGTGACTCAGCAACAATGCGTGAACTTTACAGGAGACTAATAATAATTTAAAGTTGAAATACCTGATAAAAAAAATCTATGTTATCGAATCTTATCGGATTGAAATGATTTTAATAGACCTAGAAAATTTTTTTTGCGCTTCGAATATGGTTATTGCCTATCATTTATGTATAAAACAGTTATTGTAGCTTAGTCACGTTTGCCTTTGAAGCGTCGATTTTCATTTAGAGAAGCGTGCCTTAGCTTTATCGATGGATTTATCGATTAGTATAGATCAGCGATTGGAGAGCTTTTTTAATTATAACCTCAAAATATTTTTGTGCCAGTTGATATTACCCCATGGCAAAGAACAAAAAAAAACGCAATCGCTTCTTTTTAGTATTTTTCATATTATAGCCCCCATGATAATTTTGAAAAGAAAACAATAACTAAAAATTTAACGATTCTAAAGAAGTTTCACTTCAGTATATACTTTTTACTTACAAAAGTTTCATTTTTACCCCCCAAAATCTCATTTTACCTCATTTGGGGTAATTTACCCCGGTTCTCCGACCACTGGTATAGATTATAATCGCTAATCATGCCACTCCGACAAAGCGATACAACACGAGAACCCTTTCATCGTGGCCGCTGGTAACTACATTCTCGCCGAATCTTCTCAGTGGGTCGCGTCTCCGATCCGGTGGTAGATTCTGCGAAGCACGGCCCTTGCTAGGGTTCGTGTTAGCAACGTCGTCAGGTTTGAGCCCCGCGAGCTCACCTACTAGTTAAGGTTACGCTGAAATAGCCTCTCAAAGCTATCAGCTTAGGTAGGATAAAAAAAAGGTAATCATAAATGAATAATCAGAATCAGTAAATAACACTCTTGATAAAAAACTGGTTTCTCGTAAAAGGAAATAGTTTTATGACGTCACAATGCATTATACTGGCCACTTTAGTATCGAATGTTTCTCGGCAGGTACGAGGACCAGCCGGCGGAGCCCGAAGCCGACAAATCTAAGAAGTCCGAATAAAGTTCGCCCGTTAGCGAGAAGCACAACAAAAGCGCACGATACAGACACAACTTTATCCATATTTTTGTATAGTCGCTCCGTCCTTGTCGCACGCTAACATTCAACCATACGTACGAGAGGGACGGGTCATTTCAAATTATGTATGTACGTATTGTACGAAACTTAACCTCGTGGGGGTGCATTTTACTCAAAGCGGCGTCTGACATTCGCCGAATCGGCTGTTTCAATAATATGACAACTAGGTGACATATTGACAGATGTCACTTTATAATGCCCCGCTGACCAAAATTTATTTGCGTATAACTTGACTAGTCTTTTAACAACACTATTACCCAATGATTTTTTTCTTCCAATTTCTTATGTTTTTCTAATACACGAAAGAGTTTAGGAATATTATTGAAAAAGCCGATTTCCTTTTCGAAAATTGTATATGTAAATATTGGTGTTGTGAATTTTTCTATATGAAATAATAAATAGCGTTTTTGACAATTAGTTTTATTGTTTATATTTTCTTGTGTCTTGACAGCAAACTAACATTATTTTCATAATAATGTCTTTTTTTTAACTCGCCCTAAATTAAGTGTTGTCATTTTAATACAAATTTAAAATCAAATATTTACACGACCACATCAAAACGTTGAAACGATGTACTTATCGCGGAGCTGCAAATAAAACTCAATGTCAAAAGCGCCATAGAATAGTCACGGTAAGATAATTACCTACTTAATTTAGAAGGGTATTTTCTTCCTAAAATTCTTCCTTTGGAACGTACGAAAAGATTTTTTTGTTAATAAAGATTAATTTAGCATAAAGTTTTATTATAAAATCGAAGATTCTAGATATTTTGTAAAATTTATTTTCACTGGCAATTGCAATATTAGTTGTTTTAGAATGCATAGCTGAAACCGATCTAACTAGGTTAGTGATACTAAAAGCCGTAGCGACTCCTGGATCCAGACTCGATTTCCAATCAGAGTGATTAATATATTTGACATAAGGGGCCTGAATGTACTAACTAGTTCTACGCTCCGCTCTCATTCCATACACAAATATGAGTTAACTTTTACGCTGTCGAGAACGTTAAAAAACTCGCACTAAGCACACTGCACAGCAGAATTTACTTGGACTGACCAGTAAACACCAAGTAGACCATCAGCTCTAAAGCAATTCTAAACACAAAAAAGCTATCTAATTTTGAAGTAAAAACTACCCATCGTGGTGATTTGAATTCAATGAAACGGAAGTCACACGCGAAAGACGACACTAAAAACAGACAGACATATACATTTGTAGGATTTAGTCCGTGGAGGCGTGTGTAATGTGCAATTGAAAATTTAGATAAAGCTATCGAGGGAAGGTTTAGTTTATCTTTATCGGACTGTTAATGTTTATTTTAGGTCTATTAAACAATTATGAATAACACTCTTTGACAGTCTTCTTATAACTAGCTTATAAAGATTCGATAACATATTCTGAATATCTGGTTTGACGATCCTTATAGCAATTGGGAATACAAAATGAAGTCATGAACAACAAGAACGGATACATAATTATATTATTAATTACTAATAATATAAGTACATAGTAGTAAGTAAGTTATACGAAGACTTAAAGAGCGTTATTCAGAATAGTTTCATGAATCTGAAACACACATTAAAAGTCTGATAAAAATAAACTAGACCATCTCTCGATGGCTGTTTACTATTAATTACTTAAGTATAGGTAGGTAGCGGCTTGGCTCTGCCCCTGGCATTGCTGAAGTCCATGGGCGACGGTAACCACTCACCATCAAGCGGGCCGTATGCTCGTCTGCCAACAAGGGCAATAAAAAAAGAAAGTAATTAATATTACTTAAGTTTTTTTGCTTAAGTACTTAAGTAATTAATAATGATGGATTTAAAATAATTTTGACTAATCACAAGGTAACTTTCGTAAAAAAATCGTAGAAAAGTCAAGTGTCGCCTCGCGCTACCGATTGTGGAATTCAAACTGATGAGACATCGAACCCAGAATAAATTTAATCTAGAAGTATATCCTTCTATAGGTCGTTTCATATTCGGATAGATTTTTATTCCTACCCTCTTAGACAAAATATACAATATTTTATAATTTTAAGTTTATTAATAATTTTTTTATTCTATGTGGTTTTGCTTTTCCATGCTGATGTAATTTTTTTTTAATTAACATCTTTTTATTTATAAATGTTACCGCACACAAGTACACACATTTTGGTGTTCAAATATATAAATTATTTTCGTTTCAATCAAAATTATATTATTCTTAAGTACAATGGTTTTTTTAAATATATTATTGAACAGATGTGATCTTTTTTTTTTCGAATACCCAAATTTTTCCGTCAGTGTCGGATTGTAATATACACTTGTTCTTGTGATTTCTAATCGCAATTTTCATTCATTTAGAATTGTAATAAAATTGAATTTAGAAGTTAGTTTTTTCTTCACTACTAACGAAAAGTTTTATTTTAGTTCCATTCCTGCACACACATTCAGTTCTGGATTAAACTCTCCGTTGCTATTCCTGAGCACGGACACGTACTTACAGACTCTGATATTATTCTTTCTATCTATCAAACAACTCTCCTAAATTTAATATGTTACTCCTATATTGCAACCCGATGATTGTAAGTTGTGACCATTTTTTTTTCTATATTTTAGTACCCAAGTGAAGTAAAAATTTTTAACAAGACTCCATCCCAGAGGCTCGTAACAAATGAAGTTGGAAAAGTCCTCAGCGATCAGCAGCGGTCTGGCTATACCCTGACATTACCATGGGCGACGGCGATTAACCATCAATAATTGCATCATATCTGCATACAGAAGCAATAAAAACAAAATGAGAATCAAGTTCAACCGGTCTTAGGCTAGTAACATTGTCGGTGGGATAAAGTCAACACTTTTGCCGATTTTATTTATCTGTAAATAAAGGTAAAAGAGAAACTAAATTATTTTCTCAACGATATTTTATTTCAAACATTAGTAACGTTACAAGTTACTCAAAGAATTGTTATCATGTTACAATTCGTTTCCGATATAATATCATTATAATGTTCCAAAGCACACAATTAAATTCGTTAGCACACTTTTAGCAGATCCAGCTGATCTATTGACGTAGTGAAATCTATCAATGTGATTTTCCCCAACTTCAATACATTTGATAAACTTGAAAATTTTACACACACCACGAGAACCGATGACAATATAATAATGTATGCTAGTTAGGCTTAATAAAATGACCAGAATAACCAGGAAAGGTAAAAAAAACGTTTACCTACTTTTGCCGCTAGGGGCGCTGTTTCAACTCCATTTGAGTTAACTTTTACGCTATCGAGAACGTTAAAAAACTCGCACTAAGCACACAGCACTTTAAATGAAAGAAGAGTTAACAAAATTAAAAGAAAAAAATATATGAGCTCTCGGGAAAAACGGGTTTGGTCGATTTATTTGTATAGCATCATATTAATACTCTTTGTATGTAAAGCGTTACGGCCAGTCACTGTCATGTTTCTATTGTTTTAAATAGTTTTGATTGATGATAGATATATAACGATAGATGATAGATATTAAATTGAAACATCGCACTAAAGGTTCTGACTACGACTAGAATATTTTAAGTATAATTAATTTTCTGAACTAACGGCGCACGATTTTACGAGTAATAATAAAAAACCGAGGACAAGTCGCTCGCTCATCGAGCCCCGGACGCACTCGTGTATATATCGACAGGTCAAAAGCTATTTGGTTTATGCCTTGGATGGTTTAAATTCACAAATAATCCCGGCAGATGGCGCTGCAGTCGGTATCTAGATTTATTTATATATACTGCAACTAAACTGGATGGACTTGAATTATTTTTTGTGTATGCATTCATTCATTCAATTTGGTGTATGCAGGACAACGTCTATCGGGTCCGCTGGTCTCATATAAAGATATCGTACTGTATAAGGCTCCCTCCACACTGCGGCTAGACGGGCAGGTTCCTATTGTGGTATCCTGCGCCGTCGCACTCGATCACGTTCTGATCCCCGTCCGGCTGTATGCTAAACTTCGCCTGGATATAAGAAAATAAACAGTTCATTGGCTGTCAGGCTGTAGGGTGGGGTAGCCGTTGTAACTATGCTTGAGACCTTAGAACTTATATCTCAAGGTGGGTGGCGCTTTTACGTTGTAGATGTCTATGGGCTCCAGTAACCACTTAACACCAGGTGGGCTGTGAGCTCGTCCAACCATTTAAGCAATAAAAAAATAAATAAAAAATGTTCGTCTGTCATCGCTGACGTTCATAAGCCACAATGACTTAATAGGTGTGCTGAATTACTCACAGATGAGCCGTGCGCTCGTGTTTTTTTTTAATTTTTTAATTGCTTAGATAGGTAGACGACAGCCCACCTGGTGTTAAGTGGTTACTGGAGCCCATAGACATCTACAACGTAAAAACGCCACCCACCTTGAGATATAAGTGCTAAGATCTCAGTATAGTTACAACGGCTGCCCCACTCTTCAAACCGAAACGCATTACTGCTTCACGGCAGAAATAAGCAGGGTGGTGGTACCTACCCGCGCGGACTCACAAGAGGTTCTATCACCAGTAAATAATTTTATTACGAAAATAATTTTCAAACATTGTTCACCTTAGCGATGAGTTCAGCGAAGTGTATTGCGGTTCTCGTGTGCAGCGTGATCTCACCGACTCGAACCCTGGACCGACCGTCCGCCAGCGCCATGTACACAATCAATTGATCCTGTTACACGTTATAATGTTATAATTATAACCTGTTACGTCGTAACAAAATTCTAAAATATAAAATTAATACAAAATATAATTGGAGGAAGACATCGCCCACCTGAGTATAACTATCGACGCAGGCACCAGATCTGATAGCGTCCCTGAGCATCTCTCCCGCCGTCCTCCCGACCTCCACAGCATCCACTCCTCTCTTGCCGAGAGCATCTCCTCCCAGAATGTAGCCGGAGGACAACTTGCTCGTCAATCTGCATACACGCAACAATAAATGACTACAGATAATGAGAAAAGATTTCCTTCGTAATTTTTCGGAAAAGTTTCTATTTATCATGCTCTATCAAATAGATTCAGTACCATAGATTATACACTTAATATTCAGTACTCATCTTAGAGCCGTAGGGGTAAGTCGCATCAAAAAAACAATATATATATATATACAGAGCGGGTAATACGCAATTCAAATATATAAGTGACGGCAATGACATGAAATTTAGACAAGTATTGTGTTTTATTATGGTAAATATTTCCCAATAAGCTTTATTTTGTTGTACTTTTAATTATGTTTTAAAGCGGAGATAATGTTTTGTTTACTAATGACAATAAAACTGAGTATTTTCAAAGTTACAGAAGGTGGTTGGAACATAATTATGATTTTAAACTACGTCACGAATATAACAATTATTACTTAAAAATATCGGGAACTCATTTCGTATAATACAGTGGTAAATATCCAGTTTTAAGTAATAATAGTTATGGTTGTAACATCTCTATATTATACGATGACATTATTCATTTTGACATTTGACACTAAACAATAAAGTTTCTTAATGATGGGTGGGCGAGCTCACAGCCCACCTGGTGTTAAGTGGTTACTGGAGCCCATGGACATCTACAAATTAAATGCGCCACCCACCTTGAGATATAAGTTAGATCTCTTAGTAAGATCTCTTAATAGTGATATTAATGGATATGAAAATGTCACTCATTTAATACGATCATTCATTGACAGTTCGGGTGTCATCGTATTCCGATAAAGATCCGAGTTTTCCCGAAGGAAAATAATTTCTCACTACTACATCTGTAACCTGTAATTTTAAGTACACAATCCGTCAATTTTTTACTGCTGGTAGGACCTATTGTGAGTCCGCGCGGGTAGGTACCACCGCCCTGCCTATTTCTGCCGTGAAGCAGTAATGCGTTTCGGTTTGAAGGGTGGGGCAGCCGTTGTAACTATACTTGAGACCTTAGAACTTATATCTCGAGGTGGGTGGCGCATTTACGTCGTAGATGTCTATGGGCTTCAGTAACCACTTAACATCAGGTGGGCTGTGAGCTCGTCCACCCTTATAGCAATAAAAAAAAAAAGTTATTTTACTTACACGATACCGCTAGCGTTTTCGGGAGCGAACTGCGTTTCCTCTTTGTAACACTCTATGTGAATGTTCTTGCAGATCCCGCGGAGTTTCTCCTTAGCACCATCCGCCATTGAGTAAGCCATCTGCGAAACAAACATTCCTTTTATTGGTCCAGATGGTTTTTTTTTTCCTACCTAACCTGATAGCCTTGAGAAGCTATATCAGCAGAGCCTTAACTAGTAGGTGAGCTCACGGGGCTCTAACCTGACGACGTTGTTAACACGAACCCTAGCGAGAGCCGTGCTTCGCAGAATCTACCACCGGATCGGAAACGCGACCCACTGAGAAGATCCGGCGAGAAACTCAGTGGGCTGTGTCTGAGGGACACGGAGAACCATCACATGTCCCGTCTGGTGGTAAATGGCTGAGATAATCTATAGATAGATATAGATAGTTTAGTCGTTGTGGCCTAAAGGATAAGACGTCCGGTGCATTCGTGTGTAGCGATGCACCGGTGTTCGAACCCCGCAGGCGGGTACCAATTTTTCTAATGAAATACGTACTTAATAAATGTTCACGATTGACTTCCACGGTGAAAGAGTAACATCGTGTAATAAAAATCAAACCCGCAAAATTATAATTTGCGTAATTACTGGTGGTAGCTCTTGTGAGTCCGCACGGGCAGGTACCACCGCCCTGCCTATTTCTGCTGTTCGGGTTCGAAGGGTGGGGCAGCCGTAAATATACTGAGACCTTAGAACCTGTATCACAAGGTGGATGGCGGCATTTACGTTATAGATGTCTATGGGCCCCGGTAACCACTTATCACCAGATGGGCTGTGAGCTCGTCCACCCATCTATGCAATAAAAAAACGCTCTGGCCACCAATAACAACCTTACTTTAATGGGCAGACAGCCAGCTACATAGCTCCAGCCGTACACAGCGGCGACTTCGCCCCCCCGCGTCACGTCGGCGGCCTGCACGCGCCGCAGGGGCGACACCTCCACCGTCACGTGACCACCACCCTTCGGGAAGTACCTTCACGAGGAAGTTCATATACGGATATTAATAAAAAAATTTATTGCCGTATTAGCAAACGAGCATACGGCCCACCTGATGGTGAGTGGTTACCGTCGCTCATGGACGTCAGCAATGCCAGGGGCAGAGCCAAGCTGCTGCCTACCTACTAGTGGTCCTGCAGTAGAAATTCGACTTTAATCAATTGAAATTTAATAAACATTGTTATGGTCCTATTGTCAAATAATATTATAATTATATAATATATGTGGCGGGTAGCCATCATACAACGCAAGATAATTGACAGATGCCTGAATCTTGCTTACGACATTTTCAAGATAAAAGCGCATATATACAAGTTCCGAACAACAACATTCGGACCGTCGGTCTACCGAGCAATATCACCCGCTCGGTGGAAGATCTTCCCTTTGTCGTATATTCCTACAATATAATCACAGATTTCGCCAAAACTACACTATAGATAAATAATAATAAAGACAAACTATATTTATCTATTCTCATGTTGACCACAGACTTAAAACACTAACAAAAGTTTGACAATTGACAATAAACAAAGAGTATATTTATATATATGTGTTGTGTCAAATATATGGTAGTGTGCGTAATGTTTTCTTTATTGATTTAATGTATCTTTCATGCATTATTTAAAAAAAATATTAGCATTGTGCACTTCCTTTCTATATTCTCTATAAGTGTGGAAAATTTCATACTCCTCCGTCCGCGCAATTTTCGTAAAAAGGGATACAAAGTTTTTGCTTCACGTATTAATATATAGATTTATTTATATATTTACTAGGCACACAATACACATTAAAAACTAAAAAAAGAAAAGACACACAATAAACTGGTGGTTTTACTGGTGGTAGGACGTGCTGTGAGTCCGCACGGGTAGGTATCCACCGCCCCGCCTATTTCTGCCGTGAAGCAGTAATGCGTTTCGATTTGAAGGGTGGAGCAACCGTTGTAACTATACTGAGACCTTAGCACTTATATCTCAAGGTGGGTGGCGCATTTACCACGAGACCATCAATTTACAAGTTTTCTCAAATAGATCCATTACAAGATTAATAATTGTCACAGCACACCGTAGCCTTGTTTCCTTGGTAGCTTACATAAAAAATAAAAAGTTTGCCTGATATGTTTGAAACCTTTTTCTTCCTATTTGCTGAAAATGTGCTGATGTTCACAGTTTAAAGAAGATTTTGAGATAATATAGTCAATTTCAGTCAAAGTGATAGTGCAGAAGTGGGGTCAACAAATGAGGGTATTTCACTCATTCAAAATGAGTCAAAAGCGTTACGGGGATAATATAGTAAGAATACCGTGTGCGAGGTTTCCGGAAACAAAACCAGCCAGTATCATTGATTCCTAATATTGTATTTAAAAAAGCTATTGTGCATTACAACGCACGCAATGTAACCTCAACTTAGGTATGAGGTCAACGTCCTTGTGGGACACATTCGGATTGGGTTCGTTTCGATATTTATTTGTGAATAAATTTTTTCATTTACATTAGAATAAAATATATTAACCTTTAACAATGTCGGGTCCGATTACCTTATGCTTCCACCACCAACACCATTCTTAACAATTAAATAACTTTAGCAGTTACTATGAAGAATGAAATAACTCATTAAGGTCTCAATCTGTTCGTTTTATACAAACCAAGAACTGACATTAAGTTTGAGAGGAGGTCATATAAGTTAAACTAATATGCCACATATTTAAATTTAGGTATTATTAGATTATTTTTTTATAGATTAGTTTATATTATTTTAATTTTAGTAGTATAGTTTATTATTTTATAGATTAGATTAGTTTACAGATTAAAATCACAGGCAGCAGCAGAATAGCAGCGATAGTTTCAGCTATCACAAACCTGAGCCGCGGCCTTTTTATCTCCACTGTCAGTATAATTAATATATTGTAATATTGTTTAGATAGAATTAGAAATTTATGTCATATTAATTGAAAAGTTATTTGTATTGTGGAGTAAATAAATGTAATTATTATTATTATTATTATTTTCATGTTTTCCCTTTCTCAGTTCAGTCTGTCGACAGAGCCAGTGGAACTGTATATACGGGCTTTTGGCCAAGTAATATACATTAGTTATGAGTTAATAATTATGCCAGTTTTTATTGCGTGTAGTAAGTTCGGTTTTCTTCAAGCTGCAGAAACTTTCTTACTATTCTGCATGTATTTAGGATAGCTGCCTTTTGTAGTGAAATAAATATGTTATCTTTTAAGTCTATAATACTTACCCTCTTCTGTGTATCGTAAGATTAAAATCCACACCAAAGTGTTTGACTGCATGCTTAAAGACCTCGGTCATGTAGTCTATCTGCGGGGCCATCTCTGCATTGGTGCCACCCTTCAGCTCCAGAGTGACAGGACCGTCCGCCATTACTGCACAGGGTAGCGCCACTTGGAGTAAAAGACTGATTGAACTGTGAATGTTATATAACGTTTGTTGGTGTATGCAGATAGATAGCGGAATTAGTATTTTTTGTAATAAGCTTATTCTGATAAACCACCTGATTCAAATTGATGGTAATTACTACAAAATTGGCATTTTAAGAAAATGGAAACACAGTAATATACCGCAGTGTCAAATCAGTAATTTATTTTAAACACTTTTTTGTGTTTAATGTTTCGCATTGTTTATTATTTTTTGGTGTAAAATAAATAGTCTCTCTCTCTCTCCCATAATATAATTTAAAAATCATAAAAGACAGAGAATTGTTTGTGAACATTCCACATAAGATCTTCATATGGACTATGTATATGTTTGTATACACCGGGTGACAAGCATCATCACCCCTTAGATGTAAAAAAGGCAAGTCACATCTGGTTACTTCAATAATGAGAGACAAAGAGCTGTATTTTTGTATGGTTGTTTATTTACTAACTAGACTACAATTAATGTGCTTACATATACTTTAAATAGGAACTGAAGTGCGTTAACATTGTTGAGAGAACAATTTGCAGCATAGAATGTAAAAAAGACTGTGCTGTCTGTCGAGCGATTTCGGTTGGCCACTGTCAAATGCTATCGCGCTACTGCGACTCTCTTTTGACTAATCTTCAAATGGATTCAACTAGACCTTGTTCGTTTTTTATATAGTACAATGTATATAATGATATTCGGTACTTCAGAATCAAATAACAATAAATTGCATTTTCTGATAAATGTATAAGAAAAAAAAACATTTAAAGCTCTTAATTATAATAAAATTAATATTTTAAACTTTCTTTTTACTGCATGATAGACTTCACTCATTGACATCAAGAAAAATCCTTTTTAGAAAACTAAAGAATTTTAGATAATAAAAGTTTTTCTTTACATGAATATGCCTAAATATAATTCCTAAATGTCTATTGACTAAGCCTGGTGATGGTTTTTCTTAGGTTGCTAACCCATATTGTCATTAAAATTGCAAAGTTCAGAGAATTCAATGACAAAATAACCTTTCAGTTACTATATGGCGGCAATCAGTTACACTAAAAATTGTAAATTGCATTTTTTTTTATCTGCTCACCCTGCTGTGCGTGTATCAGCAACATAATGTCCTCCACGAATCTTTCCAGGTTTGAACTCCAATTGCGTTGACCGAATATGAGCACCATTGAGTTTGGCTTGACACATTTCTGCTACTAGCTCAACACCTACAAACATAAACAATATAAAACTAAAACATTTATTCTTTTAACTTTATGCCAAAGAATACTGAGCGAACTTAAGGTGAACCTAAGGAATTCTCATATATATCCACATACTCTTATATAAATATAGCAGTTTAGTTTTAGTGAATGCTTATGGGTGCTCATTAATCTTTTCAAACAATAATGGGCTAATTCAACTGTAGGACTAGTTTAAAAAAGGCGATTCCATATACCAAAGTTTAAATTCTATAATGCCATGCAGTTATAAGATTTCCTTTTAAACTAAGAAGAAAAATTGCTTAATTAAAAATTAAAAGGTATAAACTTCTTTTCAACTGCAACAACTGTGATCATTATTAATACCTTTTAAATGTTGGGGTGCCAAGCCTGGCTTGCTCCTGTTAGCTCGTATATTTAAAATACGCACAGGTATTCCGAGAATTGCACTTAATGATATTGAATTCCTGAGTACTTGACCACCCTGTGAATAATAGAAAGAAAACAATTTACAAATTTCCTTTAAATGCCTTATTAATATAATTTTAAATATGTAATAAATATGCTTCATAATTAAAATTTATTGGTTTTCATTGTTGGATTTTTTGTCTGGCCTGTTCTTAAAACCAGATGGGCTGTGAGCTCGTCCACACATATAAGCAATAATTTTTTTACTGATATTCCACATATTAACTCCAAGAATATTAGTACTCTCGAAAAACATACATATCCTTCTGAAATGAGCCACCAAGACTCACTTCTCTCATCAAAATACGAATATAGGGCTCACTTATAATTTGAACCTAGTATTTAACAAGCATTAATTTAGTAATTACTATTTTTTTGTTACCGTAATAATCTTATTGCTGTTGACATAGTAGCAATAATACAGCTTTTATTCAATAAATAAAGAACAGTAAATACATAATTGTTGTGAAGTAATAGTATTAAGTTCCCTTTTCGTGTGGGTCTGTATTACCCACTGGATGCTTTACTTCATTAGATTGTTTAGTAAATTAAACTCATTAGAAGAACAGCAATTGAAGACTGATTGCATTGTATTAATGTATTTTGAATTGACTTTAAAAAAGTACTAATTTTACCCCTTCCAAAATGCTCCCATCTATTTCCAAGAATTCATTCATTATTTCGAAGTTCTCGATATATTGTCAGATATTTATTGAAAAAGTATATGTAACTTCTTGATTTTATATCTTCAGAATTTGGTTACATAAATATACTTATAAATATTATGAATCAATTTAATAAATTAATAAATTTATTTGTAATTTCCTAACGTATTTATGTTGTATTCATAGGTTGTAATCTATGCATAGTGAATCTATGGATTGCACCATAGGTTATAGACTTAATATATGGATAGCACTTTGACATTAAATAATTATGGAAAGGGTACGACCACGGTACAACGCCGAGGTTTTCATGAAATGGAACAAAGTGACACTGGCTGTTTTCCAATTACAGCACAAGAGCGCATTATGCGGCATAATGCTCAACTAAGCTTCAGCATAATTCGGCATTGTGCGTCACTAAGTCGCATTATGCTCTGTAATTGGAAAACTACCATTAAGTAATGGTTAATTAATAAGGCCGCCAATATAAATCACCGACTTTTATTTGTTTTATTAGCTTACTCTGTACATATGGTGTTAAATAAAGAGTTATATTAATATTATTATTAAAACATTACGAATTTTTCACTTTTTGGCGGGAACGCGAGGAATGAAGTTGTGTGATTTGTTTTATTTTGTCTATTTAGTGTTTCTTCAGGTTTAAATGTTTAATAACGGGGGTTTATTAACTGTTTAATATCTATGAAAGTGCACAAATGTGGAAAAATTAAACAACGCCGCTGGACGTAACATCTTGGGATCCTCCAAAAAAGCCACTGAAAAACTCTCAGTAAATGACCACCATTTTACTGAGATTATATTTCATCCCATATCATCTCATTTCATTTGATGTCATGCCATGTTTCATATTATTAATCAACTTCATTTTATTCAACTTCATTTTTTACTGATGGTAAGACCTGTTATGAGTCCGCGCGGGTAGGTACCACCGCCCTGCCTATTTCTGCCGTGAAGCAGTAATGCGTTTCGATTTGAAGGGTGGGGCAGCCGTTGTAACTATACTTGAGACCTTAGAACTTATATCTCGAGGTGGGTGGCGCATTTTACGTTGTAGATGTCTATGGTCTCCAGTAACCACTTAACACCAGGTGGGCTGTGAGCTCGTCCAACCATCTAAGCAATAAAAAATTTAACTTCATATTATCATTTGCAGAGTTAATTACTACATTAATCAAATTACTTTCTCAACATAATTTATATAAACTGTCCCTCGCTGCTAATTTGATTCATACCTACACTGATATTAATAATGGCCAACACAGACAGTTTCCTTCGTTTTTTATTATTCATAAACTGTAAATAATTAAAACAGCGAATTATCGGTATCTTATTATTTGACACTGGCTAAAGCACAAACTGTGCCGGACACAAAAAAAACCCAACAATGTCGTCATCGTTCAATAAATAAAACTACAAGCAAAATGTTTAATAGTGCAAAATTGTTTAAATTTGAGTTATGAACGTGAAAAATTATTATCAATGTTGTGCTGTGCCTTCTTGTGGGAATACTACTATCAAAACACCCAAAAAGCTGTTCATTCATGTCCCAGCTAAAACAGATCTGCGAAATAAGTGGTTGGAATGTGCTCGAATGAATGTAAGAAATGTATCGGCGAAATCAAGTATATTTTTTTGCGAAGACCATTTCGATGTAAGTAACAAGTCGGCCCGATGTTCATAATTTGTTTTCTATTTAATCAGATTCTTTAAATTGACCTACTATTTTTGAGGTTATACTTTCATAGGATTAAAACTGATATAAATGCTATGCTATGTTTCATCTATTTTCAATCCCCCAACGCTTAATATTTATTTAGCTATTATTATATTATTTTAAGTTCACACATACTGTTTGAAGAGCAGGCAGCTGCCATTTCCTGAGACTATTCTCATTTTTCAATGAGTTTTATGTGCAACCAATAGCCCAATTATGTGGTTAGCTACTACAAAAATGCAGCAAGGAAGTAACAATTATGAATTTAAAGTGAAGGTAGCAATTCAAACCCTGAGTGCTTACTACTTATTGCCTTTTTTATGCATTTTTTTTATTGCTAATGTAGGCAGATGAGCATACGGCCCACCTGATGGTAAGTGGTCACCGTCGCTCATGGACGTCAGCAATGCCAGGGGCAAAGCCAAGCCGCTGCCTACCTTAAGTACTCTTCGCAAGCCCCATTTGAGCATTTCTGGTTGAATGTTGCCAGTGCCAGTGTACAATAGAATTAAGAACAATTAATTAATGTTTTGTCTATAGCTGTCTATAGGCTTTTATAATATGTTTTTATTTCTTTGTTATTGATTATGGTTCCCATAGAACAGATAATCTTAATTTGTGGCCAGGTGTTCAGTCACTGATCTGTCTCGGATTATTGATTTATACTTAAATAATGGTATAAAAAACAATATAAAAATAGATTTTCAGCTAAACTAATTATTTCCTAAAGCTCAAAAAACTACCAATTAAAATGGTATGTCATTAAAGAAATGCTCTAAATAATAAGTTAGGCTATTCCCTCAGAACAGCTATTATACTAATATACAATAAGTACATTCACTTAATTGCAATTATTGTGTAGGCAGTAAATTGGTAGTACCCTTTGTGTTGCTGATGTCCATGTGCGATAGCAACGACTTAACCAAAAGCGTCTAGCCCATATAGCACCTGTGTGCAATCAATCTAGCGCCCTCTAGTAAATGCGTGATCAAAAAGGAATAGGTAACAGGTTCATTGATAAAGGCTGGTATCCCTCTAACACTGTTATACCGATGTCAAATACACACTTTACGCCATAAGGAAAGATACCTCTGCACTTAAAATCAGGAGGGCCTTGCATAAGATGCTTGTAATGGCAAAAATTTTGGTCAAACCAACTCAAGGAAATTGTTAGACAATGCTTTCAACAGTTATTTTAATCATAAATTGCATGCTACTACAAAGTGACATCATCTAGACTGGACATTAAAAGTTTTTCATGAAATTACAGACATAAAATCAGTTTTTTTCTTTACAAAATGCTCTTCATGATCATCAGAAACTGGAGATGGCAGTTAACATTCCATAATAACAATTTCCCTTTTATTACAGATGGAAAAAGACATTGAAAATTATTATCGATATAAAACAGGATTCAGCCGGAGACTAATATTAGTGCCAGGTGTATTACCATCAAGATTTCACTGCCAAGAAGGCAGTAGACAACCAAGTAGCGACAATGCAGTTCGCGCAGACTTTAGAAAAAGGCGAAAAATCCATGATACTCATAGTAACCAGCCAAATTGTAAAAGTAGTAAAAAAGATGACGTCAAGGAGATTGTGAAAATTGCTGAATCAAATTCGGTGGGTAGGTACAGCTGTGTAACTAAATATTTCTAATTCACTCATGATGCTCTTAGAAGCTACTTGTATTGTAGCATCCAAAGCATATGTCTCCATACTCGTTAAACAGTTCGACGTGAAATCTAGCCCATCAGCCTGCTGAGCTTCTCACCACATCTTCTCAGTGGTTCACCGAAATCATAATTTCCCATTTTTTAATGAGTTTTTCCTTTAGTCCCACAAAACAAAGTTCTGGCTGTGTGAGCTTGTGCCCCTTGCATGTGTATAAGATAAATCATCATCTTCGTCACGAGTCAGCAAACCACTCGGCAAACACAATTCGTTAGTCAAAGTAACTTCAAGTTTGATAGGCTTAAAAAAACAAGTACCGTACTACTAAAGTTACAAGATAGTTTGAAAAAAAATGCAAAACGAATGCGAAATATTACAAATGTTGTGCGGTGCCTTAGTGTAGAAGCACAACAAATACCACATCTGAAAAGCTGTTTATTAAGGTGCCAAAAAATAATGAAATTTTAATGAAGTGAAGAATTTTTGTGAAGATCCCTTCGAAGTAAATACTAATTCAAGGATCACTTTTGATTGAAGTGGCTGTATTTTTTCTGCCGTTTTAGACATGTCCACACAGCCTCTGATGGTTGGTGGAGTGCGAACACTATCACTAATGGACATCAGCGACGACAAAGCCATAAGCCCACTGCATATCACGAGCAGCATTAACATTCTCCCTCGTAGAAATTTGATGTTAGTAAAGTGCCTATTTCAATAAAAATGTTTTTGATGTTTGTAAATTACATGTGCTGATTTAATTATTAAGTTTATTTCCGGACGTCATAATAAATTTTATTGTTAAGTTTAATAATTTAACAAAGCAAAAACCAATAAATTTATTATTCACATAATATAATTTATAAAACCTCATCAAAATTGGTTTTAAACTGCCATAGCACATCAAAGATAGTTAAAGCCCTTTTAAATCGCAACTTTGTGCAAAAATTAGTTAATATGCACGGAACCTCTTATCCTTTAGTCCACGACGACTTTTTTGTCCTTATGTTGCACATAACATGTACGTTGTGATGAACATGAGCCTAAGTTCTATTACAGAAACTTCAGAGTACAGTTTTTATTCGCATTAATTTATATATCATTAAAGTTTATTGGATCATTTGTAGCATCTCAACCCATATTTTTGACCAGATCAATTTTAATTGCATCAAATTTATCTAAGGGTAGTGCTTAGAATGTAATTCATATTGAAGCCACGCTAGACCAAAACCTTGCTTAATGTACTTTTTTTTCAGAAAGAAAATTATCACCGGTTTCCACACAGGAAGTATGGAGTGATTCACCATATAGTGTAGGTGATCTTCTAGCACCACGGTCTGCGGGTCAATGTATCGTCACCTCGGGGCACAAGGTAAATCACACACGCAAATGCGAGCTATCAAGCTCTACATGCTAGTCCACTTAATGTTTTGAAGGGTGGGGTAGCCGTTGTAACTATATTGAGACCTTAGAACTTATATCTCAAGGTGGGTGGCGCATTGACGCTGTAGATGTCTATGGGCTCCAGTAACTACTTAACACCAGGCGGGATGTGAGCTACCTATCTAAGCAATAAATAAAAAATAATCGCATATTCTATTGACAATGGCATGCAGAATTGTTTGAGATGATCTCTTTATGTCCATTTAACTGCTGTACCACTCTCCACCGAAGCAGAGTTCATCTGTATCTCTTGGGATTGCTGCAATAGTCGATAGAGCGTTTGTAAGTAGTCGTTT